CGCCACCGATGCCCTCGTTGTTTGTGGGTGTGTTTAACACAAGCTGAGGACGAATCCCATCGCCACCACCGGTGCCCTCATTTGTCGGTGTCTGAAGAAAAGCGAACAGCAAGCTTCCGGTGCTGTCACCGCCTGCAACAGCGTCATTGGTGGGTGTTTTGATAGCAATAAGGCTACTCGTGTTGTTGGTGCCAGCATTGGTGATGATTGAAAGACCACTACTCGCAGCATTGCTATTGTTACCAGAAGCATCAACCGCATCAATTTCCATACTAGTGGGACCTCCAGCCACGGCATTGGTGTCTACATTTTGTGTGAGAGACACTGGAGCGTAAACAAAGGAAAACATTGCCTATTAGTCCATTACAATGAATATCGAGTGATGTTCTAACTCGAGGAGCCACCGCGTTCCACTTTGACCTGCTTACTCTTCTTCATCATTTGCAACATCAGACTCTTGCCAGATGAACTGGCCTTGTTATCCTCGTCCACATCATCAATCGTTCCGACAACGTAGGCTCTCCAGATCACCATGATCTCCGTTGCTTGCTCCGTCGTGCCGTCTCCAAGGTCCTTGGCATAATCAAATGGCAAAGGGAGCATCATGAGCTCTCCATCTTCACACCCGGGGGAGAAGTGTTCATTGGAGAGCTTCAGGCCTGTATGTTCAAAAGTGATGATTGTCTTCTTCGTTCGTTGCTTCTTCTTAAGATTCGTTACAAGACTTTTCATCGTTTCATACAACTTCGTAGTGTTGAAGACGTCTTTGTTAGCTTTGATGATACCTAGCCAACTGTTTGACCCCGTCATCCATCCTTTCGGCTTGGCTGGTCCAATGATTTCGATTGTTGTGTTGCCAACCATCCTTGCTTCTAAGATCTCGACTTCATCTGGAGACGTACCAGGACGGGCAATCACAATGGTTGAAGCTTTCTTCGTTCCAATCCTTTCATCGTTGCAGAAAGTAACCAAATACTCGCCATGAGCTTCTGGGTTGTCGAGGTCGGCAGGATACTTTTCGTCGTCAACTGTAAAGAAGAGAAGTCAACAATCAGCCACCAAAATCAATGCAAAATAAAGTATCCAAAAGTAGAGGCAGCCACTCACCCTTTTTCTTTGCTGAAGCTTTGCCGGACATGATCAGCTTGAGGGGGCTTCCAATGTTTGCTTGCGACATCTTTGTTGTTAAATCTTCGATGGGATCGGAACTGTAGTACGAACGATGCTGCTGCTGGGGCTGTGTTGAGTAGTTCCTTGCCTTTTTGACCTGCAGAGGGGACACTACGGGGATGTGAGCGGACATTGAGGTGATGGGAGTGGGCCGAGAGATTGAACTAGCCACCAGCGGTGGCATTGGAGGCATGGAAATCGCATCATCATCTTCATCGCCTGTTGGCTGCACCAGTGACTCAATTGGCATTGCATAGAAAATCGTCTTCATTAGCTTTTGTCGTGTGGCTTCAACCCCAGTCCGCTTCCATCGATCGACAAGCCACTTCACTCTTAAGCGACGCTGTGATCCTTCAGATCCAAGATCTCGAGGGTACTTTCGACAGAGATCAATAAGAATCCGATTTCTCTTTGTCGATGCATTGACACCGCCGACTTGATCAAGCAATCTCAGCACAATCACTTTGGTTTTCGTATCAAGTCCAGTCGGTGGGAGATCAAAGTCGCATTCAAACACAGCATGATCCTCGTTCTCATAGTGTATTGTAGGGGTAGGTTTTGTTTTGATCGACCGCTTGGTTTGACTCACCTGCTTCTTTGTTATTGGCTTTTGCTTCGGTTGGCACGGATTCTCCGATTCACAAGATGCCTCTGGGTATGGATTATCGGGAGCTGAATCGAACAGGAGGTCACCTAACTCGTCTTCCGAAGAAACAAGAAGTTGCTTTCGATGCTTACTGCGTGTTGTTGGCATTTGTGAGATCAAGAAGACAGTGTCAACCAAGCAGTCGATCAATGGATAATGACAGCAGATGCCAAAATTCAAATTCAATTTCGGTTTATCATGAAAGCTGCACCTGACGGGTCTAATTGTTTGAATCAGTTTGCCCCATCCTTGATGCCAACACTCTGATTGTTAGGTAATTGATTGGCAACTGAAATCAACGAGAGCAACCGACGAAAACGCACTGACCACGCATCAAGGTTGATTGTTGTTTGTTTTAAAATAGTCCGAATTTCCACCATGGCGCCGAAAAAAGCTGCAACCAAAAAGCCCGTGCGTCCTCCCGCAGCTCTCAACAAAGCTGATTGGGGAACAAGCGATGCCAAGCATCAAATTGTTCAGGATATGCTTGATGGATTAGTCCCATACGACAAGAAGCTTGATACTGAGGATGTGTTCAACAAAATGTATGCCGGTCGCGAGGAGTTTGCCAATTTCCCTTGGGACTTGGAGCGATACAAAGATCGATTTGCTCGCATTCAAAAGTCTGTTGCTCGGCTCAAATGGACGCGTGATTATGATGCAGAGTGCCTTGCCGAAGCTCGAGCAGAGTATCCAGTGCCAACACATGGGCCTACTGGCAAGTTGATTTGGCAAAAGGGCTCCGAAGCTGACTTGGCGCTCGATGAGGATATGGCCGCTGGAAAGCACTTGGAAATGAAACCCAGAGACCTCCGAGAGACAAGGGACTGCTACCAAGCCTTTACCAAACGTGTCTTCAGCAAGAAGATTGACCAAAAGAGGGAAGCAGCAAAACCTTATGGAAAGAATCCAATGCAAGTTGCCGATGAAAAAGCCACCGAAAAAGCCAAGGGCAAAAAGAAAGGCAAGGGAAAAAAGGTTAAGAACCGCCCTGACATGAGCCGTGTGGGTAACGTAGAAGTATACTCTGGTAGCAGCTAATCCATTAGTAGTAAAGTAGCGGCCGCAAAGCCTCCTTTGCATCATCATTGTCGCTCTTTTTTGTAAAGTCGCGAATCGCGACTTTAAAAGTCGCGACCGCGACTTTTCGCGACTTTTTTCGCGACTTCTTTCGCGATTCGCGAAGTCGCGCGACTTTTTCCGCGACTTTAGGGCAAATGCGCGACTTTGCATTTTTCGCGACTTTTCAGAGTCGCGAAAAATGACGTCATCGGGGGACTTCCAGATGGTGTCTGTTTCAAAAGAATGTCAAGGCAATTCTGAGCTTTTTGGCACAGTCCAGGCAACGCTACATATGTTGCTGCCTCTGTCAATGCCAGCAGAGTTTGGAATTTCTTCCACAAGGCTGGCGAAGAGGTTGGACAAGTGTCTGCTTGATTACCAGAAGGTGCTGCTGAAGATCTCGTTCAGCTGGCTTGTTTGCAATGGCAACGACAGTGAAAGTTCCTGTTGTTCTGCCAAGAACTCCAACCGCATGCTGGTGTTGGGAGGACTTGCCTTTCAAAGTTTCGCCGTCAATTCTGTAGAGAGCCATTCCCACAGCCAATGGTGAGTCAGCTGCGAGTGTTCCTTTGCCGATAAAAGATACAAACGCCATCTTTTCACAATCGTGTTTCATCGATGCCAATGTCATACCAAGCTTGGTACCAGCCTCCTTATGAAATGTTGCTGCTATTTATTCCTTGCCATCTGGGAGGCGGGGAAGTCCAGAAGTATATCCAAAATACGCAGCCAACACGCTGGCAGTGTCAGTATGGACGTACTCCACAATCGCCTCGAGAATGGTGCTGGAAAATCCAATCGGGACCACATCCTTCTCCGCTTCCTGAAATCTTCCCTTTTGGAACTTTTTGTGAAAGTATTCACTCCGAACGGAGAGAGCCATGCGATTGGCAGGCACCAGCAGTCCATCTGTACCCTTCAGATATACATCGTGGTACTCTTTATCTGCCAATTTGGCAAATGCATGTGACAGGGGCAACTCCATAGTCTCGAGACTCGTCTTGTCTCTCAAGCTTTTATGGGTTCTGGACAATTGTGCGGATTCAAGTTTCCGAGAACCGTCAAGGAAACGAGCCAGCTTGCCAGCGCCGGGAAAGGGGTAGTGGTTTTTGAGACGCACACTGCTTCTGTTTTAAAAGATTTTGTAAACCCCCCGAATCGAATCTTGCGACCCCCCCTTTCTCCTCTACCAATCCCCCTTTTGCTGGTGATTTTTCCATCGGTGGCTTGTTCAACTGCTATTATTGACATACGTGTCACTGGTTTGGAGTGTGCCTCCTACCGGGACAATGATCCGCTCAAAGTTTTATCCAATCAAGAACACGAGCAAATTTCCAAGTATAAAGCCCCATGCGAATCCAATCGCACCTCCTTCCTTCCTTCCCTTTGTTGTTTTTCTGTGGAAGGTATGCTTGCTTCTGGCTGTCAATGCCAACAAAAACTCAGTATTCATACTATGTTTTTCATGCAGACCTTCAAAATTATTGCCCTTGTGAAAGCTACACAATGATGTCTCCCCGTGGATCCACCAAGGCCAAGCCCTTTGGCCCCCATACTGGTCCTTCATACTGGTCCTCACTTTCTTGCCCCTGATCCCACAGAACCTAGCTAGTCCTGAATTTCGACTCTTGCTTGCTCAAGCCTGGCCCTGGCTGGATAATCCACCTACCCGGCACACGTACCGGTATGATACTCTCACGTAAATTTCCACACTAGCGCCAGTTTCGTCCCCTAAGTAATAGATGCGAATTACAGTTTAGATTCCAGTTACGAAGATATAAAGCTACGACATCATAAAGATTTAACATCAAGACATCTCTCACTCCGCGTCCGCGAGGTAACTCACACTACTGTATATCTCACCCGCATAAAGCGAGTTGACGATGGCCTTGCCAGAGCTAGCTAGCGGCTGTCAGCTACCAAACAACCACATCTACTAGTCACTGAAGATACCACCTTAGTGACCTGAGCAGCTGCGACTCGCCAGAAGAGTCAGAAAGTTTGGTTAATGAAGCAATTTGAATGAGCGAAAATTTTGACACATGTTTGGTCCGCTCGGATTTTGGCTTGACATGTCGCGGTTGGCCCTCCGTTCTGTCATAATCCAACGAAATCATCAACCATGCCGTCGAACCCGTGCTACACATCCAACAATGGTGCTGGAGCCATATATTGCTTTTCCACGAACAGACCCGCAGCAGACGAGTTGGTTGGTATCAAAATGGTGGATCTTTTGGACCACAACAACCGGATTGATCGGTGCATCTTCCACTCCAAGAAGACAGGTCAGAACGAAGTCTTGGTTTGGACTTTCAAGAACGGCACCATGCTGGCACCAAAACAAGCAGCGTTGCTCCATGGGTTCTGGAAAGAAAATGATGCCATTGTGAGTCATTTTGCTTCGACTGATCGCAAGTTTGCAATAATCAAAACAATCCACGATACGGAGATTCTTGTTGTATTGGCTTGCCAGCACTCCAAGTTTCATGTTGAGCCTTCGCCTCCAAGCAATGGCCATGCTCAGGTTTGCCATCGCCCTACGCAATTGGGGATGACGGATGTCATTTCCGAGTTGCAGGCTACCTTTGGACCCGAAAACACCACTGCTAGTGATGAAGGAACGACTTCAGTTGCCATTGACCTTGTTACCCCAGGAAGCAATACTACTGGAGGACGCCCAAGCGGAGGCAGTGAATTCACGTTCGAATCTGTTTCTCCAACGAGCAACTTGGAGTGAGTTGTCTGATGCCTTCTATCCCGGCCGCCAGTGCCTCCAATCTATATTCTAGCGTAACTTGAACTACTATTGCTTTCTTATATCATTGTAGTGCTGCTCTAGACCAAAATCGTATATTTGGTGGTTGAAATGGCAACAGATGAGGCGTCTACCTTTGAGTTTGTCGTGTCATTGACGATGTTGTTTTCTTAGTTTTGGCCGGCTTATCCGGAGGATTCAGCCAATCCAACACAATTGCGAAATTCGCTCCTCCTCTTTCCACAATGGCGCTTTTTGCCGCCGCTTGAACGGCCACCGGAGCTGTTAACGTCCACTTCCATGCACTTCCCTGCTCTGTAGTGTCAGCGCTGGCAGCCTTCCGAAGCCCAGCCATTTCTAGGTTGATCTTGAAGGGGAAATCTTCTTCGATTTGATCAGCGTGGATGATATCCGCGAGGCAGTGTGTGCGCTGCTTCTTTCGCCCTTCAGCCTTCTCCGTGCGCTTTCGCTTTGACTCTTTGCTGAAATTTCTTGCCCGTGCGGCTCTGACCTCCTCTTGGGCCGCTTTGACCTGTGGATCCGCAAGATTGGCTTGAAACTGGAGCGAACAAGCAATCTTTCTGTCCACATTTCCACCAAGAGCACGAAATCGAAGGTCAGTTGCCCTGCCAACCTGATGAGAGACTTCAATCTTTGACTCCTGGTGGTATAGCATTCCACGCGTTCTCTCTAAGTGATCTCCAAGATGCTGCCACATGTGGACTTTTGGAGGTGTGTTCGGCGAGAGTTTTCTCCAGAGTCGATCCATTTTGAAGATAACAGCCCAGACGTCAAGCATTTGGGCATCAGTGATTGATCCGTACGGCTGGTAACAGTAGTGCGAGAGAGCGTCCATGTATTGGAATAGCCTGGTGTATGCAGTGCAGTATCTGACGATCTCCTCATCATCGGCTTTTCTCTCAGCTCTGGGAATTCCAAGAAGAAGATTTCTGACGGCTGGCATTACAATGTCGGCCTCTCGAATTAGCTTGCGGCAGTAATTTCCAACCATATCTCCTCCATGATAAGCAGATGGGAGGAGGTGAAATTCTTCAGCCAACATGCCATCCATCTGTTGTCGGACGGGCTGATTCAGAAGTCGGTTCTCTTTGAGTTTCTCCGTTGACCTGGCCTTGGCTGCAGTCTTATCAGCAATTTTCTTGGCTGCCTTCGTGCTGCATTCAGCCTCATTGAAAAGCAGTGTCGCTTGTGCAGTTGCAGTTGATTGAGGACCGCCAGCAGCTTTTGCTTGATCGAGATCTTGCTTCGCTTGATTCTCTGCCTCTACAGCGACTTCCAGAGCCATCCTTGTCAACGCTTCGGCTACTCGTGCTTTCTCCAACTCAACAGAAATGTTCTCCACTCTCCACCACACGTACTCATCAAGCAAAGCTTTGGCTGAATTGACAAAGAGGTCCAGCACATGGAGAGGTCCAACAAGAAAGTTTTCGAGTGGAATGTCAAAGAGGGGGTCCTCCTTTGTTCCTTTTATCTGTGCTTTGGATGGAGCCGGCCCAAGCTCTTTCTGGATTTGCCAAATATGGCGACATTCCATCATCGATTCAAGAGTCCATTGCTTTCCTTTCTTGCAAGTGCAGCCTTTCATCTTGTGGGTCTGCCACGCATCCCTTCCCCACTCACAGAAAGGGCACCAATACGTGGAGCAAGCCTCTCTACCCTGCACCAGCAAAAGAAAGGCACAGTCTCCGACCACAAACATCTGTACAGGAACTGTACGAAGCACCACTCCACGATAGGCTCTGACAGTAGGTGAGTTGCAGCCCCAAGCAGCATATATGCTCCCGTCAGGAGCTTCACAGAGTGCTAACTCGTTTCCAATTCTCTTCAATGAGCAGTTCAAAGGATCTGTAATGGTCCGTTCGAGGACGGCATATGTGTCTTTTTGGCACTCGATAAAGCCACACAGCATGTCGCCCTCAAATGCCAACGTGCAATCTTTGAAGAACAACAGCAATGTAACAACTACGCGGAATGCTCCTTGGCCATGATCTCCGCCCAAGAGTATGTGACACTCTTCGAGTTGGCTCAGGTTGGCTCGAGTCAGTTTTGTTGATCGAGGGCTGGCAAGATCTCTGTTGAGCAACCACTTGAACGCTTTATCAATTGGTCTGTACCAACAAGCTCTGTTTCGATGGTTGTCTCTAAACTTGACGGAAAAAGGGGGAAAGCACTCGCTGTCTAGAGCCTTAACTGCCTCCATCGGTTGCCAAAAGTTACGACCAAGGTGATGGATTGTATACTTGCGCACAATTTCAAACTGTCGATCAGACATTCCAGACTCAGCGCGAAGAGCCTTCTGATGGTAAGGATCGATCTTTCGTGCTGTCTCTTTCCATTTCATTGCACAAACTTCACCAAAGGCTCCATTATCTACGATCGACAGGACCTTCGCAAATGCCACAACAGCATCTCGCTGTTTAAGAGCAGAATCCTTGTGGACGGCAGCACTCAAGGCTGTTGGCATCCAAGTCTTTGCGTTTGCATAAAGTCGTCCTTGAGTCTTTGATGGGACAATAGCCTTCATGAGTCCCCTATTCGATGGCTTCGCTGCTGCCTTGGAATTGAGACCAATGCTGCTAAGCAAGCACTCCCGAGCCTCTGGCACATCATCAGCTACCATGTTGACTGCAGACCCAAGGGCTTTAAAGGCGTCAAGAGAGAGTGGAATACTAAACTCATGAGTAAGTGTTGAGTAAAGATCTTCGTCTAGTGTTGCGATGTCCTTCTTTTTGTATTGCATATCGGTCTCACTACTGTATTTATTCTTTACAGATTGCTTATGGAGGCCATGTCCAAGATCTTTCACTCTGTTTCGAAGCAAAGCGACGGATGCTTCGTCGATCTGTGCAAGAGCTGAGTCGTCGACGATACCTTGAAGCAACTCTCGCACGTCGCGGTTTTTTTGCATTTGAATTGGCTCGCATTCCGTTGGCGTTACAGCTCTCGGAGCTTGCTCATTGTCAGTGTTTGCTGTGGCTTCCTCTGTCGAGATAATGAGTGGCAACCGCCGTCCAAAGAAGTCGTATTGCTTTTGAAAGTGTACCTGCACTTTATCGTCAGTGTCTGGCCATTTGAATGGCTTCTTCCCCTTTTGTTGTACGTAAAGAAAGTCTTTCTTTTTGGTTCCATCCTTTGTGCTAACCAGTGACTCTTTTCGATGGCTCACTCTTCTCTTTGTTGTCGTTATCTGCGCCATATCCTGAAGGCTTGGATCATCCGACGGAACGAAGGGACGTCCAAGGAGGTGGGCATTGCGCAGTTCTTTCCGAAGCACTTTCGTGCTTACCGGGGAATCCTCATCGTCGATCTCAACATCGATTTCATGTGCTAGAAAATCGAGTGGCACCCAAGCATTCATCAACAACCGACGCCGCTCTCGAATTAGCCGTAGGAAAACGATGACTACGTTCGAGAACATGGCTAAGACGACAATGACAAACTTGCAGCAAAGTGGGCCTCCTTCCGCCACTGCGTCCTGATGGGTATTCTTGAGATATCTACAGCTTCAGGTCCAAAGTTATTGGGTTGACATGGAGTTGTTGGCATTGGCACCCTGTTGGATGGTGTTGGTTGGGCTCTTGTTGAGGCTAGCCCTCAGTCAAAGCACGGAGGCTACATGAAAACCTTGACTCCTGCGTTCAAAAAAAGGGGGTAATTCCAGGTTTTTGGAGTGAAAAGGCAAGTTTCCTCTACTATGAACAGTATTGTACCGTTGCACCTGTGACATCTCAATTGCCGGTGTTCGCAAATCCCCAACTTTACGTGTCTAAACCCCCCGGTTTACTTTTTTGTGAGAATGATGGTTTTTGGGCTCGAGTTAAGGTTTTGATAGCTAGTAAGTAAGACGCACACTACTTCTACTAATCGACCGTAAGCAAGCCACGCATGTTGCCGGCTTCTTGTTGTTTGGTGCTCGACGACCATGGATGGTTGGTCGCCGCTTTTTTTTGGCCACAAACTACTACTGGCTATGGCATAGCTAGGTACCAGCTAGCTAGCTAGAGAAGAGGAATACGAAGAGGAAGAGACAACGAGAGCTTTGTCTTGACTGTGCGTCGGATTGGATCTGCGTACACTAGTCAAGAGCTCTCGTGTGTATCTACTCTGTACATTCCCTACTAGCAAGTAGCAAATAATTATTACTGTATCATATCAACGATGGACGTTCCCGACATTGACGTGCTCGAAATGGCGGGCATTTACCGCAAGCGCATCGAGAATCTGTTTTCCAATAATGACGGGAAGGGCCCCAATAGCAATGCTCCCTCGTTACAACAGTTTCTGGAAGGCTGGTTGGCAGATGTCAAGGGAGACACATCCCAGCAAGTGGCGGTCAAGACCGAAGAGAGCAACCAAGCAGCAGGATCTGCCAATGACAACGGCATGGACGACTCGACGTCACAACGAAATGGTCGACGAAGTTCCGTTGCCAGTGAAGTCAGCAACAATATGGACAGCAACAGTCGCCGTGGATCTCTCATGAGTACTACTACTACTACTGGTGGCGCCCGAAGTAGTATCAAATGGGAACCTCCGTTACAATCCGACAATTCGTATCCACCGTCTCCACCCACGTCACCTATCGTTCCACCGCCTCCACCCACGCAAGACGAATTCCACAGCGAATCGTTGCCCGGGGCGGTCGCTCATATCTTGGTGGAACAAGACGATTCCCTCAATAAGGACGACATTGTCGATGAACTCTCGTACATGACAACTCGCGATTATGACATGGACAGTACACTCGAGTCGGTACAACAGTTTGTGCAAGCCAAAAACTTTACCATGACAAAAATGGAGACGTGTGATCGATGGAAAATTCTACGACAACCACAGGGATACTATCTACTCATTTTACGATTGTATCTCAAAGATCGATCGATCCAAACCCATTATTACAAACACCACGCCATGGCATATCACAAACGGACGCTCACCGATCGCACCACCCTGCCAATTGCTCCCAAGGATATTTCCAGTATGGAACGCGCCGAACGAGTCTTTGACAGTCATTTCAGCTCTCTGGTTGGAACGGCAGCCAAATATCGACATTCCGCATTGCTACACGCCTACGAAATTACTCGCAAACCAACCACCAATGGCAACAAACGAAAACAACCACATGACAGCAACACTGCAGCCGACACTACTACGACCAAACGATCCCGACCAGATGTTGACGAAGAACGACGATGGGTACCCATTACCGGCGAATACACGTCCATTCCTGATGCCATTGTACTCTTACTCAAAAATATGGATGTCAAAGCCAATGATATTCCCAAAAATCTCAATCATGATTATTGGTTGGAATCCGTCAAAAAATATGTTCGCATGCCCGTCACACGCTATCTCAATACCAAACTACTCAAACCCGTGTCATTGCAGCAACAATCCGTCAATAATCATTTGAATATACTGAGAGAACGGTCTGGGAATCACTTGGTGGTCATGACGGTGCACTTTGAGGAAGACAGGCATGGACGTGAGTGTAATATATAATATTATATACGCAACCATGCAATCCAGTGTTTTGGTTCTTGCGTTGTACTCAACTAACTTGTGTGTGTCATTTTTTATAAATTTGCAGCGGTTCCAAAGTTAACGCATGGAATGGTGTGGCTGGCCGAAGATAGACTCCTCTTTGACCACAACACGGTCGACAAACCAGCCGTCGTCACCGACCGGGATTTGAGATCCATTGGAACGGCCAAAAAGGTATTTGATTCCATCCTACGGCCATTGATGGGACGACGTTCGCGGCTTTACAAATTTTGCAGTGTCCGTTCGGCCTATCGCATCAAACACATGACGGCGGCTGATATTGAAGAAATGGAAGAAGCCAAAGCATTGCGAGAAGCGGCGGCGGTGGCTGCCAGCAATGCTGCGTCTTCTTCTGCCTTGGATGAGTCGTAGCTAGAGATAGCCTAGCTAGATGAAATAATGGCTACCAGTACTAACTTTTTGGTGATGAGGATACTGCTCGTAAGCTTCACGTTGAAACTTTTGTACTAGTGCGGGTGTACAGTAGCCGTAGCTGTGAAGGTGTCACTAGCTTCTTCTCCCATAACGTTGTAGCAATGAAGTACATGTAGTGCTTTGTAAACGGTACCGGTATGGCACTAGAAGCCCTGTCAAAGGTCCACAGCTGATAGAACAGGGCCTCTACTCCCCAGCCAAAATGAGGAAAGCGGCAAAAATGGGGAAAACCTCAGGATCACTTTGGAAACAAATAAGGAATTCCACCTGAATGTTCCTGGGAGCATGACTGAAAGATGATTTTGTGATCAAAAAGCCACCATCTGCTGGTTACCAGATCTCAGTCAATATCCAACCAATTGACCTAGTTGTTGAATGGTATTCGTCAGCAATGATGTTGTTTTGAATGACATTGTCTTACTTTGTTGAGATAGTGTAGTTGATAGTGTCATATTGGGTGTTTACTAGAAGGGGTCAATTTTGCACCGAATATTTCTAAATGTAAGGGTATAGATACTGCAATTTGCCTTAATGCCAAGGCGTAAGTAAAGGCTGACTGATCTTCATGCTACTAGGTGATGTTAGGTTGCCTGTTTTCTTAAAACTAAGTAGTAAATGAGGACTTCCCCATTTGTGCTGCGGAGCAGCAATGACGAAGTGCTCTTGTTTCTGAACTTCCAAAGGTCCTCCTCCATGTTGGTATGTCAACGTCAGGAAGGGACTTGTGTCATCTATGACTACATGAACTATTTCGACAGCAAAGCTACATGTAGTAGGAGGATAACAATTAGATTTCTGATAGAGCCAACTAGTTTAACAACCTTGATATACTACAAGTAGGTGGCCATGCTTCGAAACAAGCACATCTAGTACCATAGAGTCTCCAATACAACGTCTCCGGGGTACCTTTTTCAATTAAATGGTCAAGCAAAGAGCTCCAATCACCAATGCTGCCATTTCACCAAGTCGTTGTGTCATTGCTCCACTGGTACTCTGCATCGCATCGCCGCCTTCTTCCATCGTATCATTGTGGCCTGGTGGTGGTGGAGGATGAGGTTTGGTTTCGTTGTTATTGAGATGAGGAGGAGGAGGCATGTCATCGGTTCCATTGACAGGAGGTGGTGGTGGCATGTCACCATCAGTGACCACTGGCAACTCTTCTTCTTCTGGGGGTGGTGGTGGACCATCTCCTTCTGGTGGAGGGACATCTCCCGGCATACCTTCTGGTCCATCTCCCGGCAAGCCTCCTTCACCCATAGGAGGAGGATCAATGCCACTGCCAGTTCCTCCACAGCAGACTTCTCCATCCGTAGCAATGGGCTCATCTACCACGGTATCCGTGGGAGCGGCGCTGGTGGCTTCGCACATGTATCCAGGCTCAAAGATGGCTCCATCTCCAGCACTTCCAACAACTGTACCTCCTTGATCCGTACACTCCTGACGTGTAATGGCGGCATTGGCACCCGTGGACAGAAGAAAGAGAAAGAAAATTGATTTCATCATCGTGTTGGAAAACAAAAAGTGGCCCGGAACGAACTGAAGGAAGATTGTGAGCCTTTCAGCTGCCTTTCCCAGTTGGTTTACAGCAAAGCGACAAATCACCGAACGTTTGCCTGGCCCACTGGAACTTTGCAACTAACAGGTGTTCGTTGGTCAATACAAAGGGAAGAGTAAGGGTGAATTGTTTAGGTGGAGGGGTATCCCGCCGTCAAAAGAGCGAGTGAAAACATTGGAGTCTCAAGGGTGTTCAAATTTTGAAAAAAAAGATTTCGAAAGAAGGAGCTTCGTGATCATTCTCATTGACCCACACTTGCTCCACATGATCCAGACCCACACTTGGCCATGGCAACAGTACCACCAACTTCACCACAACGCCGAAGCAAGAGGAGGTAGACTTGTAACGAAGTGACAATGGCGGAAGACCTAAAGCCTGGCCAAAAACACCCGACGCCCACCCCAGGGTTTGGAGACCGTGTGTTCTATGAGACACTGTTGCGACAGCGTCCCGACTCGGAAATGGCCCAAGAGTGGTGAGTAAACTAACTTTTCATTGAGATGGGATGGTTCAGTTCGATTCGATTCCTTTCGTCATGTTTTGCGGCGTCTACTGGAATCATTGTTAAATTTCTCCTGGCTCACTACTTGTTCTCTGCTCGCGTTATAATACTAATGTTTAGGTGTGTTGCTTATGGAGTGTTACCAGAGGACGAAGCGCAAAAGTACTACAAGAAAGTTTTGAAGCGAAAAGGCAAGGGAGCTTCCGCGTCTGCAGCCAGTAGTAGCAAGAGTAGCAGCGCCCCAGCCAAAAAGAAGAAAAAGGCCAAAGTCGTCAAGGAGGAAGGGGCTGACCCAGATATGCAAGTCTCGGGTGCACAAGCAGTTGGGAGATCTGTTATTTAGTCAGCAGATACGGTAGTGGACACCCACCAGTAAATAAAATGACAATCTATCTGCGTGGTATTGGAGTTTTGTGGCATCAAGCTCAAACGCAAAAGCTCATTCTTGGATCTTCTGCTTCCACCTACCGTACCGTAGCTATGGCTAACTTGTTCCAACAAGCAATTTAGCACTGAAGATGCCATCCAACATGTAGCTAACATAGGCACCAACCTCCAAAACAATGTCTCTGATCACTGCTCCAATTATTCTACAAAGAGTGTTGTTACGCAGCACCCATTCTACCGTCCTCACGGTACTACAACTAGCTTAGCTACATTACTCTCAAACTAAAAGCCCAGGTGCTCGCAAAGACGTTGGCTAGTCCAAACACCTCTTTCCACAATTAGTGGGAAGACAATAACCTGCAATGAAGCGAGACTTGCAAGGCTCCAACTTTTTGGCTCGGCTCGGATACAGCACATACATCGACTGCGCTGGCTAGTTTCCTCCCAATACGGTCCAATCAGATGTAATGGGCATAGAGTGCTGCAGCCGCCGATGCTATAGGGACGATTCCTCGAACCACACTACGTCTTGACTTTGCCGCACTCTTGCCTTTCTTGGGATTATCTTCCGGTGAAGGAGGCTCGGGCTTGGTGGCATCATGTTCTCGTGGCAGCTCCTCTTCCTTGACTGGTTCTTTCTTTGATGCTCCACAACAGACTTCTTCGTTCCCTTCAATCTTTATTGGAGGTTCATTGGAGTTCTCGCATTGATATCCAGCCTTGAACACTTCCACGTCTCCTTTGTTCGAGATGACATTTCCTCCTCGCTCCTTACACTCGTCGCGTGTAATGACTGCATCAGCTGCAGTGGCGAGGAGAAGGATCAAGAGTACGATAGTGGACTTCATTGTTAGCCTCCCGTGTTATGAATCATGCAGATTCTTCGAGAAAGCCATGAGCCTTCCAGCGAACCAGAACTGGCGGATACAAGTATGGATTCTGTCTACTGAGCGGTTGGTTCAACTGACCTTCCTTTGGACGCCGTGGGTGAACGGAGCAGCTCTTTGAGGAAAAAGTGAAAGGCCTTTGGTTCTTTACATGGGCTGCAGCACTATCTTGTGCGCTTATGAGTAACCCCTCTCCACAGGCCAGCCAGACATACCGCTAGCGGTACCAACAATGCCACCTTCCACATTTCTAGCGAGTAGCCAGACGAAGCAGAGACTGGTTTCTGACTCTCGTTTTAATTTTAAAATACACATTATGCTAGTAGTACTCTTCGACGGAAGCTAGCTCCAGACCAAGATGCTTGCACTTGACCTGTTGCTTGCAAAAGTACCTATTCTTTGACACTTGGATCACAGCATTCTATCATCTAGAATGCACAAACTTGAACAAGGTAACTCGAAATGGACGCGACAGATTCATCCTCCATTCCAGCTAGCTAGCCCAGGCAGGCAGGTTCATTAGATGAAATGGGCATAGACTGCTGCGGCAGCCGTCATGACAATTGGGACAACGACCGAGACACTCTGTCCGATCTTGGCTCCGCTCTCGGTGCTGGCTTGTGCTCGAAGTTTGCTGGGTGTGTCCGCCGAGTCACGCGAATGGTGTTCTGGCTTCTCGCGCGCAATTGGAGGCTCCGGCTTGGATGCCCCACAACAGGCTTCCTCACTGCCGACCATCTTGATCGGAGAGGGGTCCACAATCTTCATGGGTGGTTCCTCGGAATCCTCGCATTTGTATCCTGGTTGGAAGACTTGATCATTTTCTTTCTTGGAGATGAGTTGACCTCCTCGCTCCGTGCACTGCTCCCGTGTAACGTGGATGGGCCCAAGGTTTGCATCCGCCGCAGCGACAAGAAGGAGGGCAACGAGCGCAATGGTGGATTTCATGATCATCATCAATCTTTATTTATGTTTGTGAGAGATCCATGATGCACAAGCTTCGTAAGAAAACACCAATACCCAAGCATCGTTCAGTGTTCCGTCAAAGCTGCGGAGAGCATGATCACTGGAGCATCGTTCCGTTCCGTCAAAGAAGCAGTTACTGCTGAACACAAGTACTGTATGGCCCAAAGAGGATGAATGGTCTTTGCGGTTGTTTCAACTGTTACGGTCCTTGACTGCATCTTGGTTTGTCTTGGAAAATTGGGGCTTCGTGCAGCTCCCCGCCCGTTGGAAAAATGAAAGACCAAGCCCGACTGAGTGAATCTTCGAGTCGATCGAATCAAATCGAATCAAATCGAATCATAAATTTCATTCCTCACAATTCATTTTCGCCAATTTCTCACAATTCCAGTTTTGCAGATTTCTCACAATTACATTTTTGCGATTTCTCACAATTCAATTTTGGATTTCTGATTCTCACAATTCCATTTTACAATTTCTCACAATTCAATTTTGCGGATTTCTCACAATTCAATTTTGGATTTTGATTTCTCACAATTCTTTTTTTGCCGATTTCTCACAATTCAAATTTTTTGGATTTCTCACAATTACATTTTTGCGGATTTCTCACAATTCAAATTTTGGATTTCTGATTTCTCACAATTCAATTTTGTCGATTTCTCACAATTACCTATTTTGCGATTCTCACAATTACATTTTGCGGATTTCTCACAATTCAATTTTGGATTTCTGATTTCTCACAATTTACATTTTTTATGGATTTCTCACAATTACATTTTTGTGGATTTCTCACAATTACATTTTTGGATTTCTGATTTCTCACAATTCAATTTTTGTCGATTTCTCACAATTCCAATATTGGATTTCTGATTCCTCACAATTCCAATTTTGGAGATCTGCTTCCTCACAATTCCAATTTTGCCGATTTCTCACAATTACAATTCTGGATTTCGGATTCCTCACAATTCAAATTTTGGATTTCTCGCAATTCCAATTTGGCCCATTTCCAATTATTCAAGATCAAGAACTTCTTAGAACACCTGCCTCTGACTCAGCATGGACGCATCCTTGCTCGTTCGTGACCACCATGGTGACATGGTGACACAAAACCTTCCAAACGCTGCATCACAACCCCATTCCGCACGCAACGGTTTGTTCCCTGGCAAGTCTCCAAAGCATAAACTGTTTCCAGAGGGTCCTTTACTACTTGTTAGCAGCACTATGAAAAGCACAGCCATGACCAGCCGATGGAGTCTGATCCTTCTGGCAGCCATGTTGGCATCTGAAACATGCCGAGGCTTTCATTCGCCTTCCATTGCCAAGTCTCCGTCTTCAGTTGTGATGGGATTGGCGAGACACCATCACTACAGCCGTAACCTATTGATGCCAATGACAGAAGAATCCGAAGAAGAAATTGTCGCTGGACAACAACACAAGAAGGAGAAGAAGCACAATACCAAAAATAAACGACGAGAAGAGTATGAACAACGAAAGCAACAGTGGCTCGACCGCTATGGATCCTTGGAAGCCTTGCAAGCCACGTTTGGCACGGGAGGAGGCTCCTCCAATTCTACCAATTCCTTTTTTCGCGGTGACCTGACACCGGAACAAACGCGGCGCTTGTATCATACTCTATTGCCCCGCACGTTGCTCGGTCTGTACGAACTCCAACTCATGAAACCGGACGAATTGGCGCCGCTGGCATATCATGCTCGCATGGCCGCCAAACACTATGCTCGTTCTCGATGCGTCTGGTATGCCCGAGTGGCCACGGAAGCATTTGATCGGTATCGAAGTGTACGACGAAATGGAATCAAGCGTTTACTACCAACACGTGGTGACAATGCTAAAAAGAAGAGTAACAAATCCAGTGGGATGAGCTGGGACGAGATTTGGTCCAAGTACGAGGCACAAATTGTGCAAGAAGAATGCGCCGCAGAGCTACAAGATGACGACAACGACAAAAAGAAGAAGAAACCCAACGAAAAAGACTTGACCATGCGAATCTATCTACGCATTTTGGAAAAGAGCTGTGTTACCAACCAAGCTTTTGACAGCATGTTTTTGAACAACGACACCAATGAGGGCGACGACGACGACGACGATGATGTGTTGGCCCAAATGGGACAACAATTGGACCAGGATGTCCGAACGCTCCTTTTGGGACCCAAAGAATCTGCCAAGGCAGAAGAAAAACTTGCCAAACTGGAAAAGAAACAACAAAAGGCACAACTCAAAGTAGAAAACCAACAAGAAAAGTTGAGACTCAAGCAAGAAAAGGAGATGCTCAAGCAAGAAAAGGAGGCACTCAAGCAACAGAAAAATCAAGAAAAGAAACGACTAAAGGAATTGGAAAAGGACCACCAAAGTACTATGGATACTAGTACGTGCGGTGACGACCAGACAAGCCTTTTGGCTCCACAAGACACCGAGTCCACCTCCACAACCAGCACCACCAGCAATGCACCGACGACGATGGCACGATGGCAAGTACTACGAATTCTAGCAGGGACGCGACAAAAGTTCCGTAGCATGCGCAACGACACTCTGTCTTGAAAGGAGGACTGTACTGTGCCAATAGTAATCAACGCCAGCAAGACGGACTATCGACTGGAAACTCTATCCAGGTCATGACTCCATCGTCAGAAAGAGTGACGAGTGTTGGGGCGGCTACAAGATTGATGTAGATAATCAAATAGCTATGTACATAAATAAGGCTAATTCATTGAGCAAATTGAGCTGAAGAAATAAGAGCAGGCTAGCTAGCAGAAACTGTGGCTTGGGTACACTGTACGGTACGTACCTGAACGCCTTGACATGGCGGACGTTCAAATGTACCGTACCTACCTGCTGTAGGCAGTGAACAAAGTTGAGCCGCGGGGGTGTCCGATTTCCGGCGAGCCTTGGGAGTCTTTTCTTGCCTGCAAGTAGTCTTCTCAAGAGATATGCGGACCTACAACAGCAACCAAGCAACCAGTCGAGCCTTGTTTCGGTACCAGGTATACATGACAAGCCAGTCAAACCTTGCAAGCAAGCCAAGAGATATCACAAAGAGATCACCAACTGATAACAACAAAAACCAGATAACCAACAAGCCCTCCTGCTTTCATCAATCCAAAAGTAACTTTGAAGTGGTGGCACCCACCTCTTCATCTAATGAATGGCATAGCCCGACAAAACTACAATAGCTCACGATATCGGCATTTTCCAGACGCACTGTTCCTCCATTTGACTCGACTCGTTGGACTTGTAGTGACCTCAGTGACCATCTTGAAGAGCAGCGCTGACCCGGCACAGCTTCTGAACTTTCTCGATTGCCGAAATTGAGAAGAGCACACACTGAGCACCCCTTGCTTCCGCATCCTTGTTCTGTCAGTTGGAGTTCAATAACAAACCATTGAACAACTCCAGAGTAATAACAACCCACCGAACGGGGAGAACGGCACAGACTGTTTTCACTTTATCATTGTGCAAAAGCATCCCATCCGCAGGCCTAACAAGGTTGGGTTCAAAATAGAAGTTCGTCTCGCAGCGAACGACAGATTCATGCCATTTGTTGCACTATCCCAGGGGTTTGGACGGGGTTTGGGGCAAAACAGGAAGGACGAGGTGAGATTCTTGTCGACGGACGTTGGCTTTCCTTTGAACGGGACGACGAGTTTTTTGTTTGTGGAAGATCAACAAGAAAGAGGCATGTCAGCAAAGAAGAGGCCACCTACGGCAGCCGTTCGAGCGTTGGCGCGCTCCATTACGGACGATTGTGTCAAGGAATCGGCTCGAATCACGGGTGAGCTTGCGACGAGCCGCGTGATCAAGTACCAGTATTGCCATGAGTCGCTCTCCAAGGCAGTGTCGCTCGTTCTCTGTTCGTTTGGGAATTTCATCAGTGCGGAAGGTACGGATCAAGAATTGGAACTCATTTTGGCCAAGCACAAGAAGAGTACAGCGCAGCCGACACCCGTCACGGTGTGGTCGTTGAAAGCAGCCAGGGAGCTCATGGAAAAATTGGGATTGACTTGGGAGGAATTGGTCACTCATCAAAAGCAAGCCACCAAGTGGGCCGTCCTTCGACAAAAAGGAGGGCCGTTCTTGATTCATGTGGAGGTGTATCTGCAAGAAGACGACGGGGACAAATACAAGTACACATATGCGCTCGTGTACCATGATCGGTGCCTCAAGAGTCACTTACCAAGGAAGCGGGAATTTTCTAACATTCGAAACGCGGACATTTCGAGTGGCCAAAAAGCGGGAAAGGTCTTTGACAGGTTCTTGGAGAGTGCGGATTGGGCCAGCGGTTTGACCTACGCACAATGCAGAATTCTTGGCTGCTGGGAAGTCAAAAAGCGGGCTGCCCAATGGGAAGATGCGGATTTCCACACGGGTCCTCTCGTGGAAACTGCTGCAGGTGACGAGTCCGAGAAGCAGAGATTTCCAAACTATCATCGGGAGGCGTTGCCGACAGCTGTGGCGCTCATTGCAGCGGGCATGGAGGGAACTGTACAGCCTGCCCCGTTCGCTCGTGGTTTGGCTTCTGTCACTGCTGCAGCAGCCACCAGCTGCGCAGCGGGACCGGGAAACTTGAACATGGGTACGGTACAGGGTTTCTTGATGAACAAGGGTTTCTCCTGCGACGAGCTGAGTGATCATGACACCAAGGGGGTATTGCGGAAAAAGGAGGGATTCTTCCTGTTTGTCCTCAGTGTCCTGGTGAAATCCAAGCGTGGCAATCAAATGTACATGCAGCATGCAGTTGGCTATCACAAGCACCTCCTCCGAAGCTGCTTGACAAAGGAGAAGCCATTCAAAGTGCTCAGATCGCAAGTGCTCAAAAGTGACCAGGTGGAGCAAGTGTTTGACGCGTACTTCGAAGAAACACTCGCCAATTGCTTTGTCACGTACAAGCATTGCGTCGTCCTTGGCGTTTGGAAGGTTGACAAGATGAAGGAGGAGGAAAAGGAAGTTGCCTTGTCCCCGTCGCGCACCAAGCGGGCGCTGGAAACGGACGAATCCAATTCTAGGTCTCCTACCATGCGAAGTTTGTCGAGTTGCGATGCTCGTCGTTCCCGCAACAGCAGCCAACCGGGGCGCGCCAAGAAGAGCCGAAGCGTGTCGCATGATTCCGCAGACTCGCTACCGGTACCAATGTATTCAAAGGGTCCCCCGGACCGGCTTTTTCAGCCCATCACGGGCGAGTCTAGATCCATCCCTGATGCGCTTTCGTTGTTGCTCAAAAAGGCCAACTTTGACGGTGCCGACGTTCCATATTATAGACTCACTCATGACGATTGGTTGGAGTCTGTAAAGGGATACTTCCGGATGCCAGTGAAACGATACTTGGATTCCAAAGGGCTCAAACTGGAAGCCTTGCCGCAGGGAGTGTTGCACAGTCATTTGGGTGTACTCAAGCAAGTCGAAGGAAACCATCTCCTCGTCTTGACCATCAATTTCGAGGATGACAAGCACGGCCATGTTCCCATGATCACGCATGGCGTAGTTTGGCTTGCACGGCAGAGGTTGCTGTTGGATAGTAGGACAGCGGAGAATCCAATTGAAGTCAAAGGACAGGATACACGCAGTGACCTTTCAGCGAGGCGAGTTTTTGATGCCTTGGTCCGACCACTGGCGGGCAACCGGGTCTACCAGCATTGCGTTATCAGGAGTGCCTACAAGCTCAAGCGCTGCTTCAGCAAAAAGCCGGCTTCCCATTACGGGCTGGGTCCCAAGAGGGGACAATGGTCTCCTGATTGCTGATTGCTTCTATTAATTATTATGGGAAGCCAGGTGACAGAAGGAGGCAGGTACCTCCAGATGTCGTGTTTTGGCGGGCGGGCGGATCGCTGTATGGGTCTCCTCTGAAGAAGGATAAACGAGGAGAGAACGGTGGTCTGGGTTGTAAAGGGGTTAATTCCAGAATGAAAGGGTCTACGGGAGAGGGGCCGGGGTTGTCCATCCAGTACGGGGGGCTGCCGATGGTTCAGGGTGGGGCCTGGATTAATTCCAGCTGTGGGTCGGGGTTTGGTCCAGGGGGTGTGACCTGGGGAATCCCGCATAGGGTGAAGGAGAGAGGCCAGGGTCCTGCTGAGGGGGCTGGTCCAGGGGTTTGCCTGGGGTCGATCCAGGAGTGAATATCGGAGATGGAGGACAAGAGACTGGGCCGTTGTCGTGACTGGTCGACGCTTCAAATTGACCCAGCGCCGACAAGAGGCTTCAGCACTGTACATGCAATGATACAGTGATTCTAACCAGCGTGAGCCGCGAGCTTGAGCTGCAAAGGGAGAGGATACATAGGAATTCGTACGGGAATCGATGGAACATGGTGCCCTGATCAGGTAAGTTTTTGTTGAGGACACACGGGCACCATGGCTGAGTACATTTATTTTGTATACAACATAATTGGATCTAGTAGTTCCGACTCTATGATGCGCGTTGAAATTGTGTTCACTAGAATGTTGCGTTACGGCAGCGACAACATCTGGGCCTGTTGGTAGGATCCAAAGACAAACCAGATGCTCACGACAACGGCGTTGGTGTGAGCAAGATGCAACAGAAAGACCAAAATACCATCAGCGTGAAACAGCTCCTCTTTGAAGAGCCAAAAGGAAGCCAAACGGGAACAACCATCAAACTCTTACACTCAAGAGTACCGGTATGATCCAAACTCTGACGATGCGCACATTGTGGAAATGAGAATCATGCAATCTTTATCTTTATTCTATACATAGGGTATGCGGTTCCAGACCGCTCGCCTTACAAGCATGCGGTGCAACAGTCGGAAGGGCAAGATATCTTTGGAGAAGATCCGCCACAGTCAGCCGTGAGCGATGCCAAAGCACCATTGGTTCGCAATTGACAAATTTCGTCTGGGATGCTCCCAGATAGGTTGTTGCCGTGCAGCTCCAGGTTGACGAGTTGCGTCATTTGTCCTAGCTCACTTGGAACTTGGCCTGTGAAGTTGTTCAGATGTAGCTGCAAGATCTCTACGAAAGAGGTACAAAGCGATGCATCGCCGAGGTGAGGAATGGGCGAGAATCTATTAGCACCCAACACAGCAGGACGAAGCGCGGCGACAACATACCGAGTTCATCCAATTCACTAATGCCAGACGGGATAGTTCCGCCAATGGAGTTATTCGCCAGAGCGACAATTTCTGAAGAGAGATGGAGAAGTCAGGTTGGTTAGCTGGAGCACGTCGGTGCTTGCTTTGACGCTGTCAAAAACCGGACGACTTACGAAGCGATTTCAATTCCGAGATGCCCTGCGGAATTTGCCCAGAGAACGAGTTGCTGTTCAAATCGAGGTGAACTGTCATGCGCAGACGAGAAACTGATTTAGTCGGACTGGTAAATCTATCTCTGGAGACGAGCTCCTTTGAGCAGCGCTGCGCTTACCGAGACTTCTGAGATTGCTGATCCATTCGTGAATGTGCCCGGTAAAGTTGTTTCCTCTTAGATTGATGCTCTCTGGAGACACAGTCGACGACAAACGAGGTATTAGGTTCACGTCCAACGACGCGTACACGAACCACATTGCAATGCCGAACTAACTTACGAAGTGATTCAACGTCCCTAAAATCAGGGATGGTTCCGTTGATCTCATTGTCGCTCATATCCAGTACAGCTACAGTCGGCAAGGACAAATAATACGGTTGTAAGACGCCGCAAGTGCGCATAGGGCGTCAAGCAAGACATTGCAACTTCCTCGCCCACTTACTAAGCCGCTGCAGTGAACGCATTGACAGAGGTAAACGGCCTCGGAGCGGAGGAGTTTGACCACCTATATGGAGCATCAAGTGAGAGGCAAATGATTAGCACACGCCACAGCCCGCCACGTCTCGGTCCGTCGCTACATTCGCGACTTACTCAGGTGAATTCTCGTTACTTCGGAATCTTGGTTGCATTCGAGTCCACCCCATTTGTTGCAAACGTCGCATCCACTGAGCCAGCCCTTGTTGTCCAGAAGAGGACCGGAACGCTTGGTGTTTCCCGTAAGGTCAAATATTTGCTTCAAAATGTGCAACTGCTCAACGAATTCCGTCGACTCGCCCTTGCAATTGCGAGCAAACCAGTCGGTATCGTCATGCAAGAGGACGTACGGCTCTTGGTCCGCTGGGTCACCTGTAATCAGAACGTGGTAGAGTTCATCTTTCTCGGTGTTCCAGTTGATAGTACCGCTGCCCGAGCAAGTGTTGTTGCTGCCGACATGACATTGAAGATCTCCACAGCTTTGCCTGAAAACAGAAACGCTCACATGGCCTGAGTTGACCTCTTGGGACCCGGCGACAAAAGATTTGCATGTGGAGAGTCGGATTCCAGCACCGGTTCCTTAAAAGATGGAAGAAACGAAATTTAAGAGTCAGTTTGAAATCAGGAAAGTGTTTGGCCACAGCTGCAGCTACGTACCATTGACTGTGAACCAGAGACCGGGGTTGCTGTTTCTGGCAGTTCCGCAAGTTCCGACTGAGGCTGCGGTCGCATGGTCGAAACGTCCATTTTGACGGCTACCACTCTGCAGAGGTCCGATGGCATTGTCACACACATCATTCTCGGGAGCTGGATCGGTTGCCGCTGCAGTTGGCTGAACAGTCGGAGCAGAAGTTGGCTCTGCGGTCGGAGCTACGCTGGGAGCATCTGTCTCGTCGTGTTCTTCCAGCCTGAATTGGAATGTTGGCGGGCCAAGGAAAGTTTGAACGTGCAGGAAGTAGCTCGCACCTGCTTCTGTCACCCACGAGTAGGGCCCTCTATTGGGCATGAAAGAGCTGATTCCATTCAAGCAGCTGAGCTCGTCGCAGCCTCCACTGAAGACCGAAATTAGCACGATTCCTTGCGTGTTGTTGGTGACCAGCGACATTGCCGATCCAGTTCCAACAATTCGATACCATACTCCAGGTCCGTTTGACATCTGGTGGCAATTGCCCCTTGCAGGGTCGGACGAAGCTCCTTCTGTCGATCCCTCAACAAACGTATCGCTGGGAACGAGAGCAGGTAGGTCCGCAGTACACTCATTGTTGCTGGGTGCTTCAATGTGCTCCAACGTCAGCTCAAAGGGGCCAGTTAACCCAATAGGACTGTGAACAAAGATGTAGTAGAGTTGGTCACGTGATGATTCCCACCATACAGACTTTGTCGACCTGCCACGAGAGGCTTCGCTCTCCAGGCAAGTGAGGAAATGGCACCCACCAGTGAAGATAGAAATATCTGTTGTATTGCCATCAGACGAATCCTGCACAGTAGCCTTAATGAGTGTGCCAGATCCTTGAACGGTATACCATGTTCCAGCGGCTCCTGGTGTGGAGCACATCCCTGCTTGCAGATAGGACCACACATGTGCGCTTGAAGTTGTTGCTGAGACCTGGGTTTCAGCTGATGGCAGTGGACCAACTGCTTTCTCACATCTATCATTCTCATTTTCGACATGTGCCAACTGGAGATCAAAAGAGCCAGTTGACCCAATTGGACTGTGAACATAGATGTAGTAGAGTTGATCACTTGGCGCGCTCCACAGAACGGACTTGGTAGCGGCAGAGGTGTTGAGGTTGGCTGTGCTCTCCACACAAGTTAAAAAGTGACAGTCCCCAGTGAAAACTGAAATGTCGACTGTTTTATCGGCAGATGAATCGGTGATGGTTGCCTTGATGACTGCGTCAGCTCCTTGAACAGTGTACCATGCTCCAGCAGCTCCTGGTGTGGAGCAAGCCCCTGCCTCAAGGTACTCCCACACATTTGCACTTGATGTGGAAGCTGCAACCCTGGCATCAACTGATGAAATAGGACCTACTGCTTTCTCGCATGTATCGTTTTCAGTAATGATTTCAATTTGCACGGAGCCACCATTGTCAGGAGGACTGGTGTGAAGGCCGGGAGCCTCTCCTTCTGCCCGAGTTGGAAGGACCATCAGTTCGAACAGCCCTTCGGCGTCTCCTACCCCATGAACCATCACATAGTAGGGTACGTTCAAAACTGAACTCCATGCCAGAACCCCAGCTTTGTTTGCAGGGACATAGTCGGACTTGATGCATGACAAGTTTTCGCAGTCGTACCCACCGAAGAGACTAACCGAGAAAGTAAACCCTGCCAAGCCTTTGGAGAGGATTTCAAGGGTGCCTCCTGTGCCAATAACTTTGTACCAGACACCAATGCCAGTAACGTTGTTGCCATAGCAGGAACCTTCACCTTCAGCGTCGACGGTTCCATGCCTGTTGGACCCTCCAAAAACAGTTCCATTTGTGGGAATTGGCCCCACCGCACCGTCGCACTTGTCGTTTGGAGCGATCACAGCGTCAGGAACGTTGGTGGGAACAGTGATAGCACCTTCAGGTTCCTCAACGATTAAGTCAAACTGGCCCGTCTGGTCGAAGCGGCCTTGGACAAGCAAGTAGTAAACGATGCCGGAAGCTGAATGCCATGTATACGAACGCTTTGTTCGGCTATCACCGTCCGTATCAGCAACGCAGACAAGTTCCTCGCAGTCTCCAGAGTAGACAGAAATGAATGCATCAAGCTCCGAGCCGGCTGAAGTACGGGCTATCATGAAGTTGCCAGTTCCTGTGTCAACAAAAAGAAAGAAGCAATGAGCACATGCTTAGCGAGTCATCATGCTTTGGGTCAGTCCATCGGTGTTGTTCAGCGTTGCACTCAGCTCACCTTCAACTCGAAACCAAACACCAGGCCCAGCGCTGGATTGGGTGCTGCTGTGACATGCAGCGATACCGTCCAAGTACTTTGTCGCACTTTCTGTGGAGCTACTCACAGCATACCCAAGCTCTGTTACTTGAGTTGCTGTGTCGCACAAATCGTTGGATGGGGGTTCGTTTGAAACCGCATTGGATGCCCCTGGCGAGTCTGTTGTTCCATCGGTAAGAGGTGGCTCGTAAAAAGATTCCACCACGACGTCAAAGTTGCCCTTTGCATTGTCAACGCCTCTGACAAGGAAATAGTACATCACGTCCTGGGTGGACCTCCACTTGAGAACCTTGCGTTCTTCTTCGTCGATCTCGTGTCTTGTGCCATCAACACATTTCAACTTCCTACAAGATCCTTCGAAGACCGAAACCAATGGCTCAATCTCTGAGTCGACCGATGGGTACACCTTCAAAGAATCTCCTGTACCTTGAACTGAATACCAAACGCCATCGCCCTTCAATGCTTCGGGGTAGCAAGATCCAGCTCCGTCTCTGTCCTCAGTTGCAAACTGGGTAGAACCGTGTTGAAGGGAGCCATCCGATGCCACGGGCCCGATTGCAGTCTTGCAAAAGTCGTTGATAACGTAGTTTTCGTCTGGAGAATTGGTGCCAACAGATAACTCAAAAGATGAACCCTTCCCGCCGCCAACTCCATGGGCGAGAATGTAGTACCGCTCTGCCAGCTGGGTCTGCCACTGAACGTAAGAGGCAACTCCGGTCGCCAATTCACTTGCTGTGATACATTCCAGACTGCCGCAACTGCCAGAGAACACGGCCAGCTGGGTATCACTACTTTCCGTAGTAGCCACCAATGATTCTCCAGTACCAATGACATCATACCATACTCCCTTACCAGCATGCATTGTCCTGTAGCAGGATCCAGCGCCTTCCATGGAAAATGTGGCAGAAGTAGTTGATCCAGGTACAATGGAGCCATCCGTGGAAACCCCAATGGATGTCTGACATTTATCATTGACTGTCACTTCCGCAGTGTTTTCAGAGAGGTCCTGAAGGACAAGATTGAAGTTTCCGGATGCTGCGTTCACACCACCCACTCGAATGAAGTAGGTTTGACCTTGCTGGGTGTTCCACAAGACAGTTCCCTTTAGATTATCTCCAGTAACGCACTTGAGATCACCACAGTGACCTTGGTAGACCGACATTTGGTTTGCGAATGCTGCTTGTTCATGCTTGATCATCTTGAGAGGTCCTCCAGTACCGGTGACCGCAAACCACACGGTCGGACCAACGCCGACATCCACACCACACTTCTCAATGTCACCATCATCATCATGTTTGGCCCCAATAGTGGTAGCTTCATAAGATGCACCCGTGTTTTCCAACGTGATCGCTTCCAAACAAACATCGTTCAGGATGACGACACTGCTTGCCGACGAGGAAGATCCGTTTGAAATCTTAAAGTTGTTGAGCCCAAACAGGGTGAGAGGAATCGACGCTAGAAGGATGATGAAGATGCCAAGACCGAACAAGATCTTGCTATTCTTGGAAACATCACGTCCATGTACGGCTTCGATATCCCCAGGAGAAGGGCCCATGTCAGAAGCTTCATCTCCAATGTACAGATCGCCCGCATCCGACATTGGCTGTTCGACATCGTTGTTCTCGGTGTAGTTCAACACCATAGTAGCTCACTCTTTCACTTATCGGGATAGATAGCTAGCTTGTCTTGAGAAAATTAGATTCTCTTTCTGTTTGTTGTTTTGTCAATCAAGAGAATTGTGTTCTTGTAGAAACAAAGCCTCGATTTGGTTGAGGAGCTGGTGGCGGTATCTTTCCTCTCGGTTTTTTGTTCATCGTCCGTCTGGAGCCACATTTTGGTACACAAATTTTACAGTGGGAAATGTCATTTAGAGGCAAAAAGATTTGGACGCGCTCAAGTAGAAGATTAGTTAGACAAGTTAGCCGCAGTTGGCCTAAGTACCATAGACAGGCCTACGCTTCTCCACCCCCCCACAAATTCGTCGACAATGGCACTTGTGGGTTCAGCAGTCAGTTACACCACAAAGCCGAAGATACTAACAAAGTTCGGCCATCAATGGCAATAGATAGGTAATTTGAACAACAATTTGAATTTGGAGACATTGCTACAAGCGTATCCGTTGTTCGTGGCCGCGAGATCAGATGGTAAGATGCAGGTACAGAAACCATCGTTGGTGGGACGGTGGCAACAATGGCCACACTGGAGACATGGGACACATGGCCAAATATATATGCTATTGTTCGTGCAATTCATTTCTTTCGTTGCTACAATGAGAAGGATTTGATTGCTTCTTGCGGGCAAGCTATCGGAGCCCTCTTCCTCTCTGGACTTTTCTAGCACAGACACCTGACCGCATACCTCTGTCCTCGTCTGCCGATCCACACGTCGTACCTCGTATACGATGAACCTCAAATCAACTTGCATGCAGCCACTGCGGCAATGGTCTCCTAACCACTTTGGAATATCATCGTCAGGAGCCCATACTTGATATGGTTTGGTTTGGTTTCCAAGTTCCTCGTACATCCATATCGGTATCCTAGCTACTAGTACCGGTAGGATCAAGCCTTGCTCTGCAAGAAAAGCCGCGCGGCAATGTGCAGAGATCAAGCTCGGTTTCAGCAGATACCCAAGCTTAACGTCTTCAAGCCATGAGCTGCACGTTTGTTTTGCAGGTGAAACCTATCCTCTGAAGGTCACTGAAAGCGCACGGATTTTGAATAAGGTGATCCCAAGTCACTTCATCCAGGCAAAAACCGTTTCCAAACAATGGATTCGACCCCAATTCTTGAGTGAGTACAGTCGTACCGGTATAGACAATGCAACGACAATCTGCAAAATCTACGGACCGTATCTCTTCCACCTGCCGACCATTTGAAACATGAGTGGCAACAGATTCAAGTGCATCGCAGTGAGACATTCGGCATGGTTCTTCTGGAAGTCGTTTGCCTTTGCACACAGATACGGTATACTTCTTTGTCGAAACCACCAGCAAGGGCCTGCCACATCATCGCTTCATGGACAGGAATCTCTGGGAACTGAACTCCGGTACGGTGGTGGTACTGTGCGTTCGTCGAAAAAACGAAATTTTCGTCGTAGTACATTTTGTACAGGCTCGGGAGGGTGCCCAAGCCAAGTGTGACCAAGGATTCGCTTCTTTTGCAAGACCTCAGTCGGGCTGCCATTTTGAGTTTTTGACAATGACAGGAATTGCCGATCTATATCTCTTGGCAAGAAATCCAAACTCGAAGGAAGCTTGGGCAAGGCTTTCAGCACTATTGAAGCTCAAGAAGACGAGGTATGACTGCACCCGTTTTGTCGTGCTAAGCTGGAAGAGGACGGGATCCAATCTACTTTGTGGTATCCTCTTCAATCATCCTGAAATCGTGATGCACAACGAGCTCTTCAACCCTATTGACATCTTCACTTACTACCAGAGAATCTTGTGGCGAAACGAGGACGGCGACAGGTGGAACACTTTGGGGCGTGATTTGTACCCCGAAGCTTTTCTTGAACATCTCTGGACTGGGAAAGACGTGTCTGGGTGCCCCATCAAGGAAGGCACCAAGAGCATTGGGTTCAAGTCCTTTCCGGATCATTGGTGGGAACCACAGAATGACGAGATTTTCCAGGAGAAAATCATCGACGACCCCGCCTTGAAAAAAGTAATCCTGTACCGGGAAGATGAATTGGCTGTTTACATCTCAATGAAACGAGCGGAGAGAACTGGTTACTACATGACACTCTCCTACCCAAAGGACTTGAAAATACAAGTCGAACCCGCTGCCTTCCAGATCTTCGTAAACAACTACCGGGACACGTTCCGACGAAGATACAAATCACCTCTGGAGCGCAACATGTTTCGCATCTCATACGAACAGCTTGTCAAGGAGGAAACGTTTGAGAAAGATATCCTTCCCTTGTTGTGGGACTTTCTTGGGGTGGACAACAGGCAACCCCTCAGAAAGCTTCGCGAGACTGTCAAGCAAGCAACGCCTGACGAAGATTTGTCCATGGTGATCGAGAACTGGGCAGAGCTTGAGTTCTGCTTCCGACACACCGACGTAAACGCCTTTCCGGCACGCCGAAATCCCGCCATGTTTTGCAACAAGCTTGCAGGGACAAACGACGAAAGGGAAGCAGGTCCTGGTTTCAGAAACAGCTGGTCCATTCTACTTCCAATTTGTTCTCGAACCAAGAGGACTACCGCTACAGCTGTGATGTCGGACAAAGCCAATTCGGAGATGGCAAATCAATTCAACTCAAACCGTCTGAATGACCTAGCGGTTTCAAGTCAATACAACGCCACAAGCGAAGAAGATTCCGGGAATTCTGTGAGATGCTGGGAAAATCTTTCCGCCTTTGCCGAATCGCTGAAGAAAACATCAAGTCCTGAAACGTTAGCAAGGACTGAGTGTCTAGTGGGAATCGACGTTGATGACAACGTGTTCCACGGAGAAGCTTCTAGGAGCCGCATTAGAGAGATGATACCTTGTTCGGTTCGGTTCTTTGACATTCAGCAACGCATGTACGGAAAGGTTTGCAAGATCTGGAACTACCTGGGCATGCAAGCCCAAAACGACTTTGTTATTCTGCTCGGCGATGATATTGTTTTGAAAGACGAATGCTGGCAATCCAAGGTCTTTGCAAAGTTTCATGATATTGCTCGGCGGACAAAGCTCCCTTTTGGAGCCGCTTGCGTCGCCTTGAATGATGAATCCTTCCCCGGCTTTCCTACCTTTCCTGTCGTTCACAGGTGGCACATACGGGCGTTTGGTTCCCTCCTCCCACGTCAGTTCGTGAACCAGGGCGGGGATCCTTATCTTTTTGAACTATACAGTCGATTCAACGCCGCGGCGTTTGTCACTGATTGTCGCTTAGAGAATACAATCGGTGGCGACGGAGAAGCAAGGTACAAAAAGTACGAGATAAGTTGGAGTGGGCAGATCCTTCGACTGAACCTGATGCACATGAGAAGAGACTACCTGAAGGCGCCCGAAACTGGCGTGTGCTTGGACATAGTGGTGCCGAGCTACCGAACCAACAACACGGAGATCCTTGAGGCGATTTTGCGCTTAAAGTGTTCTGTCCCGGTTTATACAAAGTTCTGGATAGTTGTCGACAACCCTAACGAGACTCACGTCAGAGATGTCAAAGGTCTGGCGGAAAGAGTCAACGCAGAGCGTTTTGTCGTCGAAGGCAATTATCACGTCACCGTGCTTCACTACGGCGACAACAAAGGTGCCAGCTTTGCTCGCAACCTGGGCTATAACTACTCTACGGCCGACTGGACATTGTTCCTCGATGACGATGTGCGGCCGGACGACCATCTTCTCGATGCATACGTAGGAGCTATCCGTCGTTACCCGAATGCCAAAGTCTTTGTGGGGAACACAGAGCTACCATTGGCCACAAATACGTGGACAAAGATGCTGAGATCATGCAACATTATGTTTTTCTACGGCATCTCCAAACATCTGACTTTCCCACCCTGGGGTGTCACTGCCAATCTTATGGTTCGAGGATCACGGCACAACGGCACAATCCAATTCAAGGGTGCTTACCCGAAAACTGGTGGAGGAGAGGATATCGATCTTTGTTTCCAATTCAAGCGGTGGTACAGGAGGCAAAAGATTGAAGGCGTCATTGTTGGAGTGGAGGGAGCAACGGCGCAGCATCCCTGGTGGAAAGGCGGGGATGTATGCTACGATCAAATCAACGGTTGGGCCTGGGGGGACTCGCTGTGCATTACCCAGTGGCCCGAGAAATGCTTTTGGTGCTTTCCCAACTGGATAGAGTTTATCTGCTAGTCATTCTGCCCGCGAGCGTCGCGATTGACCAATCCGCGTTGTGGGTAATTTGTGCCTCCGCTGTGGTTGCTTTTGGCGAACATCTCCTCTTGACGATCAAGTATTATCCTGCGGCGTGCCGCCATGTCGCCAAAGGCTCAATCTACAAACTGTTCGTTGCTTTTGGCGCCGGGACCATTTTGTCATCTCAAGAAGTCACCCGAGTTGTGGCCCACTTGTACCGAGGCCACTTCCACTGTTTTTGCCGTCGTGTTGACTGGAACGACGGCGAAGATCGCAAGGTGAAATTGGATACGCAGCTGGGCAGCCTCCTCCGCTTTCTGTTGTATTCTTTCTTGACGTGGCTGTTCTTGAGAGGCCCAGAACGCTACTCGGCTTCTGCTCCAGCATCTGTTTTCGTGTTGGAAGCAGGTGTGCAGTCGGTACGCGAAGGCTTGTAGGACGTCGGAAGGCACTTTGCATAGTCTGTCGCTCATGCCGCCACCCACATCGCAGAAAGATAGCCTCCACTCCATACTAAGACGAATAAATGAATCCTCAACCTCTAAATCCTCGTTTTACTAGGACTATGCGCCAAGTAGAGTCTCCCTCACCAAGCGCACCATTGAAAACAAACAGGGTTTTTCCAGCTTTGTGCCCAAGTCCGTGGCTGAGGCAACCGTCTTCCGGCTTTCGCTGGATGTCGTAGAAGCCGTCAATCATTGTCTTGCTGCAATTGAACTCTACCACTGTCGTGGGGCTGGTGTCCACAAATTTGTTGCTTCGAAGATAACTCTCGCAATAGGTCCGTCCATCTTGCGACCGCGTGATAGTTTGATACGGCTGCGTGTCGGGAAGCTGATTGTGTGTCATCAAATGCTCGAATTCCTTGTCGGCCATGTGCCTGTAAATCAATATCCTCGCCTTGTCCAACGTTGTCTCGTCAGTACTGGCAGCATAGAGCCATCTCGACGAGGCATTGGGGTGCGTCACATCCGAGAGCTCCTCGTCATCCAGCAACGCGGACTCATGAGCCAGCAGCTTTGGTTTCTTTCGCTTGTTCTTGGATTTGGGCATGTTGGTGTTGTGCCCGGTTGCTTCCTTTCTGCAAATCAAGTCCAGACGTGCACGAAGGAGGAAAGGAAGTGTACGGGATTGGCTGAGACATGATTTTCGTATAACCGGGACTCACAGCCTTGCTGGATTATGTTGGTATTAATAATTAAAGATGCCGCCCCCCACATCCTTCAACACGTGTTCAATTTTTTTTGCAGGTTGACGCCTCCACGAGACAGTTTCCACGAAAAGTATATCTAATCTGCACATATCGAAGCATCAAAATATGGCACCGTTCGAGAATACAAGGCAGCCTTGAAGGGCCCGTGCCAATGGGTGCTGCTTTTGGCCATGGCTTCGGTCGTCGTTGGATTTCAAAGTCCGTCGTCAACTGGAGTTGGCAAACATCGTTTGGGTGAAAGCTCAGCAATATCAAGTAGCCAAAGCACCGACGTCGACATGGAAGGACTCAGGAGTCTTGGCTTCACGAGTGGTCTGTGCGAGGCACTCATCCGTCAAAAAGAGGAGACTTCACATCGCTTTTGGATTTTGGACAACAGTGGCTCAATGTCCATTGCCGACGGGCATCGATTTGTGCAATCGTCCAGGGGCGAAGCCCAGCTTTCCCCGTGCACACGTTGGAATGAGCTCCAGGAAGCAGCCATTTACCACTCCAAGTTGGCAGGGTTTCTTCAGCTTCCCACAGAATTTCAGTTCCTAAACAGCCCTGGTTTCTTTCAAAAGAGCTTTGTCGTGAGGAATGAGAACGATGCCTTGAAAGCTCAGCAGACCATCAAGCGTGCAGAGCCAATTGGTGCCACCCCACTGACCCCTACAGTGGAAAGCATCCGAAACAAGGTCAAAGGAATGATGCCCCAACTCTTGCAAGACGGCACCAGCGTAAGCCTTGTGATTGCAACTGATGGGTTGCCAACAGATTCCATGGGGTATGGTGGCAAAGCAGAAAATGCAAAGTTTACAAAGGCCCTTGGTTCTCTCACGAGCTTCCCAGTGACGATTGTGATTCGTCTGTGCACCGATGATGAGTCGGTGGTGGACTTCTACGGCAACTTGGACAACTCACTTGAGTTGAACTTGGACGTTCTTGATGATTTTGCGGGCGAGGCTCAAGAGGTCCATACCAAGAATAAGTGGTTGTCCTATGGGTTGCCTCTACACCGTTTCCGCGAGGGTGCCTTTCGTAGTCGGTTAGCTGATCTGCTCGATGAAAGGAAGTTTACAAAGGACGAACTACGAGACTTTTGTGGCCTGCTGTTCGGCGAGTCTGTCGCGATGGATGGTCTTCCAGATCCTCAAGCTGATTGGGCTGGATTTCATCGCGAGGTGGATCATCTCCAAGCTTATGAAGACTTGGTATACAACCCTATGACAAGACAAATGGCGCCTTGGATCCAAGTGCCTCGCTTGGGGGCATGTTTTACTAAGCCAGGGAAAGAACCCTGTCGTTATATTTCGTCGAGAAGTGATCGTCTCAAGCGTACAACCTGCAACGTCAAATTGCAATAGGATTTCACCAGCTAATTTCGTAATTCCGACTATTCTTTTCCTTTAGCCTGGCCCTCGCTGGCTTCCGTGGATGATCTCGCTGCTTAACCTCTTTTAGACCTTCTAAACTCGAAGCGCTAGTCGTTACTTCTGGCTCAATCCCCTCACGCGACTGATTGACTCGACTCGACTGTCCTTCTGGAAGCTTGGATGGGTGTCTTGTTCACAATTCTCAAGCAAGCAACCAATAGATAATTTCCCTACTCTAATCCCCCCTTTCCATCACCTGCCTTTTGCTTTCTGTCACGGAGCTCTTTGGAGTCCCAAGTCCCAAGAATTACTGGCGCAGATTTTTATAAGCGGCTTTCGAAGATAATACAGGCCATATTTAGTTAATGCTTCTCTCACAACAACCAAATTCCCAATCAAAGACCAAACCAGCACAGTAGCAACTCCCATTTCCTATTTGGACCACCTTCAGCCAACAACACGAACGCAGCAACAGGAGCACCATGGCTGCAGGCATCGCAAGCACCAAGGCCTCTCAGACCCTCTTATCTTTGGCGGCAGCTTTTCCCCTGTTGGTATGTGTTCGTGACACTACGTTCTCGCTCTGCAGAGTCCATGGATCGTCCATGGAACCCAATCTAAAGCATGGCGATATCTTGGTGATACGAAAGGCAGATTTCCCTCTACTTCGTCGACAGAAAGGCAACGTCGATGAGAGTCTGCTGGAGGATATACATGGAGAGGATGACGAAACGAAAACTCGGCGAGTCCGAGAATACGAATTCCAGCATTTCATGGCCAAGGAAGATGCTACAGTCTGGGCTCGATGGCCACCTTGGCCATTGCGAGGTCAAATAGTAACATACCGATCACCAGATGTGTATCCACCCCATTTAGTCATCAAGAGGGTAGTGGGTGTGGCGGGGCAAGTTGTAAGTGGTTACCGCATCTTTTTGTTCTGGCATGATATTGCAATACTTTGCTTATTCTTGTTCATAAAATGCCACCATACTTCTCGCCTTCGCCCATGCATGCCGGTACTGGTACCTTGTACAGGTTGAGACTGCGAACGGCATCAAAGATGTAGATATGAATTCTGTTTGGGTAGAAGGCGACAATGCAAAAATGTCTACTGATAGCCGTGATCATGGTGCTGTCAACCAAAAGCTGATAGTTGGCGTGGCAGAGTATTGCGTATGGCCTCCCTCTCGGATACGAAAGATTTTGAGGAAATCAGATGACAAACGCGCCTACTGGATGTAGTTAACTCCTACTTCGTTATGACTATGTGTATGTTACGACTACTTGTAGCAAGGCCGCACAAATACATGTACATGTATGTCGCCTCCCAGAAAAGTTACAGTATGCCAAGTTCCAACAAGCTAATCCTCTGACTCAAAATTCTAATGAGATCCTTGGGGTTGTTCACACCACTGCAGCCGTCAAATTGGTGATCTTGACGGTATCGCTGGTATACCTCCTTTCGAAGCTTCTCTGTACTCGTCATCAAGTTGTCAGGGATTTTGATGCTGTCTGGATGCTGTTCCATGAGAAAAGTTGACCGACCCTGCAACTACCGGTACCGGTACTAATCATATTCGGCACCATTACTATTAGTTAGGATGAAGATTTATATAGATGCCCTTCAGTTTCTGCTACCGGTAGTATGCGGATGTGCTTTCAAGTGCCATCAAACCGGGGCCATTTTAGCCGAGAAATGAGGGAGCACAGCCGGAGCTTCAACAATTTTGACCCCACGAATAGTGTCCTTTATGGAGTTGACATGGTACAGGACCTCACTGACGTAGTCGATGTGACTCTGCGTGTATGTGCGCCGAGGGAAGGCCAGTCGAACCAATTCCATGGCGCTGTTGGGCTCAGCAGGATTGGCATCGTTCTTGCCGAACATCATGCCCCCTAATTCCACGGAACGGACCCCTCCTTCGACGTAGAGAGCCAGTGTCAACGCCCAGGCTGGAAATTGGTTGGATGGAATGTGGGGCAGCATGGCTTTGGCATCGATGTAAATTGCATGCCCACCGGGAGGTTGAACAATTGGGATGCCGCATTCGGTCAGCTTTTCACCGAGATAGGCCACCGAGCGTATTCGATACTCAAGATAGTCTTCGTGGAGAACTTCCTGTAAGCCCACTGCCAGGGCTTCGAGGTCATACCCAGCCAATCCACCGTAGGTTGAGAACCCTTCGGTCAGAATGAGCACATCCTTGCATTGCTTTGCAAGTTTGTCGTCGTCCTTGATGGCGAGAAATCCGCCAATGTTAGCCATGCCATCTTTTTTAGCACTCATGCAGGCCCCATCTGCATATTGGAACATTTCTTGAGCTATCTCGAGCGGAGTCTTGTTGGCGTATCCATCTTCGCGGATCTTGATGAACCATGCGTTTTCAGCAAAGCGGGCACAATCCAATATCAAGGGGACGTTGTACCGATGACAAATCTCGCTAGCTTGTCGGATGTTGGCCATCGAAACGGGTTGTCCCCCGTTGCTATTGTTCGTGACGGTGATCACCACCAAGGGCACTTGCTTGCCTTGAAGAATCTTCTCCAATGCCTGAAGATCCATGTTTCCTTTGAAAGGGTGGATCAGGGCCGGGTCTCTCCCCTCTGGAATAGGAATATCCAAGGCTTTGGCACCTCGGTACTCGACATGAGCCCTCGTGGTGTCGAAATGCGTATTGTTGGGCACGACATCTCCGGGTTTCAGCATGCACCCAAACAAAATCCGTTCGGCGGCACGGCCTTGATGACAGGGCAAGACATGCTCGAATCCAGTAATCTTCTTGACGGCGGCTTCAAACTTGTAAAAGGACGAAGCTCCAGCGTAGGATTCATCCCCCAGCATCATTCCAGACCTTACAAATGATTACCGTAAGATAGAGTCATCGAAACGTTAGAGACTTTGTTTGCTCGCTTCACGTACGCAAAGGCATGGATGGATCAGTTTTGATTGTGATCTTACCATTGTTGTGCGGACATGGCCCCTGTGCCGCTGTCCGTAAGCAAGTCAATGAGAACATCGTCAGCTTTAAGAAGAAAGACATTGTAATGGGCCTTTTGGAGTAACCGTTCTCTCTCTTCACGGGTTGTTTGTCGGATCGGCTGTACGGTCTTGATTCGAAAGGGTTCAATGATGGTCTTGAATTTCATGCTCTTGCTTCGGTGGTGATGGGTGGGTGGATGGATTTCGTTTCAGTTATTTGTGGGCAAAGCTGCGTTTGTACTGTAGTATCCAATATGTCGCTCTCTGGCTACGTTGGGAAGCGAATCGAACCGAGCGTCAGAACAACAAGGTTGTTGCTTGCTAACATATGTACTGCTCGCAGCCTGCACGGGCTATCAACCAACTCGATTGGCAGGCACGATACCCCTCAAGTACAATTCTGTCAATCCTGGATATCCAAGGAGCTCCATTGACCTCCGGGGGGATGGCACCGGTTTCGATCAGTACTCGGGAGAATCGTAGCAACTTGTTGTCATGGTTTTGTGATTCCTTTTTTCCTCGCCTGGTGGCATCTGATGCGTTGGTTCGCAAAAGCTCATCGAGGCAACCGTGAGAATTTCCTCTCTGGTGTACTCCATTCTGGTACTCTCATTCCATCATGGCGTGGATGCAAGCAACTGCAGCATGCTCGGGCATGCCTGATTGGTGCGATCTATCTAGCTGGTGTACGTGTGTTGGTGAAAGGGTAATAGCAAGCTCGTAGCTTCGTTCTGTGACTAACCTTCCCGGCTTAGTCGTGGATATTGTATTTTGAATGCGTTCCACATTCGTTTCCTCAAAACGACAGGGGTGCTGTGTGCTGTGTGTTTTCCTGCTTCTCCCTGGTCCTGGTAGCACTACACGACGGTTCCATCGAGCTAACTAGCTAGCTAGTGTCGATCAACGTCACGTACCAATATTTTGAAGGTAGAGACTCCACTAGGCCGGTTGGGTGACTTGGTCAGTGTACAGGTCCGATTGTTGCTGTTGCTGTTGCTGTTGTGAGTCTCAATCACTAAACGAGTGGTTGTTGTATGAGCCCAGCTTCCCCAAAGCTGGAACCAAAACCGATTCCGTATCCATGGTGTTGGCAGTGGTTGTGGCTGCAACCTTGGTTGTCACTTGGTTAGTGACAATGACTGCCAGATCGAATTTTGTGGCCGTATCGGGCAGCAAAGAAGCAACTGTGGACAAAGATCTGGTCCGTGCCAGATAAATAGTTCCACCCGGAGGAGCACATCTGTAATGAAAGGCAATGCTGTCGACAACCACTGCCTTGATGGGGCACCCTTGCTGCTCCTGTTCCCGAAGAAAATCGGGCAAGGTGGACTTGATTGCCATTTGTGTTGCTTAGTCATGTGCTCGGAAAACATGTATGCCTTGCATAATGGTGTTTGGTTGGAAACATTCGGGGGTAGGAGGGCATTGTGCTTGTCGTCGCTTCTCTGCTGATTTTTCACATGATCTACCAATGCCAATGCCATGGTGAAACATCGTTCGGGGCTAAAGCCAGTCCCTTCCACATTGTCATTTTGGAATTATTATTATTTGGCAGTACATTATTGAGTAGCTGTGAGGCGGATTTTGCCTTGGGTTGTTGTTGGGCAGCAGTCCCTGCAATAATCTCTCGAAACAGATCATTGGCCTGTCTCAGGTCTCAGACTGCATCCAAGCTCTGCTGCCAGATTGGCCAGTCCTCCGTTTTCCCGAGACCTCGCCACTTCTGCCGTGTCGTAAAGCCACGTTGCTGGAACAGCTTGAGAGTGCCTGGATGAAGGGGAAGGTCCGCAAGATCAGGCATGGCGGACAGCGGAGAGGAGAGGCAATATAACGAATGAAGAGAGGACAACCCGAAACAATGACGCCTCGATCGCTGCGACGTGATTGGAAATCTTTTGAGGCACGATGCTAACCAAGCACCAAGACAACCTTCGCGACGTTCCTCGGCTACACCCAAGGAGCTTTACTGGCTTAAAAATCACGCACAGAGTTTTTGAGCCCTCGGGTCCTTCCAAGCCAACCAAAAACCAAATCGACCATGACGGAAGAAGAAGCCACCACAGGCCCCATTACGGCGGATGGGGACATGCCCCAAAAGAAATTCTATCGTCAACGAGCCCACTGCAATCCGTTGGCGCACAATGATTCCTTTCAATATCCACATACCGTGGAAGACACATCGTGGCTGGCCCAACACTATCCGCACAATCGCCGCCCGACCGTGTTGGATTGCGGATGTGGATTTGGTGGATTGACCGTGGCATTGGCGAAAGCGTTACCCGAAGAAGTCATTATGGGCATGGAGATTCGCGCCAAAGTGACCGAATACGTTCGTTTGCGGATTGCGGCACTGCGATCGGAAAGTTCTACTGGCAGTAGTTGTTACGACAATGCCAGTGTCATGAGGACCAATTCGATGAAATTCTTGCCCAACTTTTTCCCACGGGGATCGATCCAGAAACTCTTTTTCTGTTTTCCCGATCCTCATTTCAAACGCAAGAATCACGGTCGACGCATTGTATCGGAACGACTCTTGACGGAATACGCCTTTTTGTTGGTGCCGGGACAAGGACGACTCTACTGTATTACCGATGTGCAAGAATTGCATCAATGGCACGTCCAAAAATGCAATGCTCATCCACTCTTTCGGCGGTTAAAGGAAGAGGAAATCAAAGATGATCCCTGTGTCGAATTGATGAAGAATGAAACCGAAGAAGGCAAGAAAGTGACCAAGTTGGGGGGCGACAACAAAAAGGGAGAAAAATATTACTGTGTGTACCAGAGAATTTTGGATGCGGAAATACCACCCGTGCAAGCCGACAATTTCTTTGCTATTGAGGAAGATGAAAATGAAAGCAACAACAACAATGAAAGTCAAGAGTGAAAATAAAGTAATGGTGGAAAGGACAAGCACGACTACTAGCTAGAGAAAGAAGCCACTTTGTTGGTGTTTCAGCTTTCTAGGATTTGTGGACTCATCACTCTTCTTGGACAGTACTCGGAATTATAGTGGACTCGACTCGACTTGAGACCAAAGCCTGGAAGTTTTGAATTTGTGCCTTTGATATTTCGTAGCAAATTAATTAGGGTTGTCTCGTCATTGCAGTGTCCTGGATGTGGCGGGGCCACATGGGTAGGTTATGGTGGGGCTCCGGCAGTAGCTTCTGATCCTGTTTGTGCCACTGGTAGTAGCTACGATGTAGCGGTAGCCACCTTGTGTACAGTTGCTGCAACCCTTCAGCAAGGAGCAAACAACTGAATTGGTGTTTTCAAACTCCAAGTCCGGTGATGAACATTGGGGACCTTTTGCACAATTGAGCATTTTAGCAGGTTGCGTTTATTTTAAAAAACAAAACTATTCCCATCACAAAACAATGGCCAATCATTGCCCCTGAAAGCTTTGGCAGTAACACTTTAGTTTTTGAAGCTAAATGATTTAATCATTCCTCTGAGCTAAGATGTCTTGAACCCAAGCCAACACCTGCCCAGTACTTACACCAACCAGATCTCTTTCATTCCAGGGACAGCCATTCTCAACTGCATATTTGAGTACATGTAGGTGGCCATACCTAGCCGCCGTTTTGCATGTGTCGTCCCCCCATGGACATCCATTCTCATGGGCATATCGGAGAACATCTAGATGGCCTAAGCAGGCAGCAACCGAGCAGGTGTCTTCATGCCACGGGCATCCATTCTCATGGGCATATTTGAGACAATCCAAATGGCCTTCCAGAGAAGCACAATACCACGTGTCTTCATCCCATGGACAGCCATTCTCGTGGGCATATTTGACACAATCCAAATGGCCTCCCTGAGCAGCACCAGAGCACGTGCTTTGGTCCCATGGACAGCCGTTCTCGTGGGCATATTTGAGACAATCCAAATGTCCTCCCTGAGCAGCACCAGAGCATGTGCTTTCATCCCATGGGCAGCCATTTTCGTGGGCATATTGGAGTACATCTAGATGGCCATACCAAGCGGCATCAGTGCACGTGTCTTCATACCATGAGCATCCATTCTCATGGGCATATTTGAATGCATCTAGATGGCCATTCCTGGCAGCATCCCGGCATGTGTTTTCACCCCATGGGCAGCCATTTTCATGGGCATATTTGAGTACATGCAGATGGCCATTCCTGGCCGCTTCAGAGCATGTGGCTTTATCCCATGGACAGTCGTTCTCATGGGCATATTTGAGACAATCCAAATGACCTTCTCGAGCAGCATTAGTGCATGTGCCTCGCCCCCATGGGCAGCCATTTTCGTGGGCATATAGGAGTACATCTGCATGGCCGTTGCTGGCGGCAACAAAGCATGTGTGTTCATTCCATGAACATCCATTCTCATGGGCATATTTGAGTGCATCTAGATGGCCATATCTGGCAGCACCAGAGCATGTGTCTTCATCCCATGGACATCCATTTTCATGAGCATATTTCAGCACATCCAAGTGACCATTTTTGGCCGCTCCTTTGCATGTTGCAGAGTCCCAAGTGAATCCCTTTTCCCGGGCCCATTGAAGGACACAAATATGACCCATTTCGGCAGCTTTTGCACAGACAATTTCGCCAGGGATATGTCCAGTGGCAGTGTTTTGGTGGCGGGAGAACCAGTACTCTGCACGGGGTACAGAGCAGAATATAGCACTGCGGTAAGTATGCAAATGGGTTGCCCGGTAGTTTGGATTGGCTGCAACATCAAGCACCCTTGGAGGATTTTCCACAGTTTCACAGTATGTTGTGTATAGACATTTCATGTTGTGGCTGACGGGTGCAACCATGACAAATTCCCCCATCCCAACGAAGGGAAGAACCCCCTTGGTCCAAATATCCTCATGCTTCAAAACGGAGTCTTCTGGGGCATTCCTGAGATGGTTGTATGCTTTCTGAACAATTTTGTTCACCTGTTTCTGTAGACCAAAGGCAGCCTCGAGCAGCTGTTTGGCTTCTGTCTTGCTGTTGCTCTTTTGGGACTCGAGGACCGACAAGAGACGGAAAAGTGCCTCCGAGGCATCTTTAGTGGATTCCTCACAGTCATTACTAGCATCTGTCTTTCTTTTTGCTTGCTTGTGCTCATCAGGTGGTACGTTGGCGCAGCAGTCTACACCCCTCTTGACTTTGTCTTCCTCCATGTTGGTTGGGTGTTGCTACGGTATTGACGCCTCCTCCCTTGAGGAAGTAAAGTCTGAATCCGTTGAAGCGAAAATCGGTGATAATCGACGTTTTTACGATATTCAGCCCTTTTTACGAATAATATTGAAAAAGAATGAAACCGCAAAGTAAAAAACAAAATTCGCCTGGGACCATGACCAATCGACCTCCATGCATTGCACTCCTGCCTCCTCGTTGCAATTAGCATGGCACTCCTACCAATAGCCGATCCTCAGCAACGAGAGCTCCGTGAAAGAGTGGGACAGTGTCTATGGGAATCCTTGCGGCAAGCCTGTGGTGGCAACTTTCTGCAAGATGACGATGAGAGACAACATGTCCGAGACTCGTGTCGCTCTTCCATTTGCTTTCCCAACAAGACCAAGAATTCCGTCGATGGCAAGCCACAGGATTTGGAAATTCGATTGGCGCTTTCCTTGTTTCATCGATGGAAACGACAGCAACAGCAGCACGGCAAAAGTACTACAATAATAATTGTGACTTCGGACATGGGCTTGCAACGGCAAATTTCGTCGCCCTTGGAATTGGCCGCTCTGTGGGTGTTGCCATTGGAAGTTGGATTGAGAAACGCAGGAATTGCCCATGACGTCCAATGTCATTCGTCTGGATTGATTGGTATTGTCACGTTGGAGCGATCCTTGTTGTTGCGACAACATGGCAGACTCCCTTGTCCGCAATGTCCCAAATGGTGTCTAGGAACCAAGGGATTGTGGTGGCATCAGCAGCAATGTCACTCGATCGAGCATTCCGAGCCACCTGCACGACGGATACCATGGCCATGGTTCCGTACACTCCTGAAAAAAGCATTGCCCTGCCAGTAATGTTGCCGCGCCAAACATCGTTGTGCCATTCATCCCACGACAACGACAACGACAACGACATCGACAATCCCCTCGAGCTCATTCGAACCGGAAATCTCCCAGGACTCCAACTTTTGATTGAGAACGGCTACACCCCTGCCACTCATGTCGATCACCGTGGAGCATCGCCGTTATTGTGGGCGGCCGGGAGTGGTCATTTGGATATTGTACGCTATTTGATTGAAACGTGTGGGTGTGATCCCAATCAACCGCAACAGGGCAAACGATCCTTTGGGGGACGCACGGCATTGCATTGGGCCGCGCGCAAAGGCCATTTGGCGGTTGTACAATACTTGGTACTCGACCAACACGTCAATGTGGAAGCAGCGACCAACGATGGCACCACGGCGTTTGGTTGGGCCAGTTGGCAGGGTCATTGCGCCATTATGGAATTCTTGGCTCCTCATTGCAATATCCACCGTGTCAACACATTTGGATGCAATGCCGTGCTCTGGTGTGCACAGGGAGAACGAGGCGACGTCGATACCATGAAATGGTTGCACGCTCAAGGGTGTCACATGACGCAGGTCAATCACAATGAACATGGGGTCCTGCACAAGGCCGCGCAACGAGGGCAGTTGCCAATATGTCAGTGGTTTTGGGATACCACAGTCACTCCCGCCATTCTTCTTTCACAACAAGGAGGAGGCACTAGTAACGTATTTGACTTGTTGGGTCCGGATACGGAGCAGTATTGTCCTTCGGACTTGGCTGGAATGGAGGGGCACGAAGAGTTAGCCCGAACACTGGCTCGCTGGGAGATGGAATGTATTCAGATGATGCAGGATACTAGTAATGGAGTGTCCATGATGCCAGACTGGCTGACCAAGACGCGCGAGGGCGTCAGCATGCGGATGTCCAATGACAATGAAATCTACACATGGGAGCCATTGGGAGGGGTCCGGCGAATGAAGCGCCAATTATTAGAGTAATTGGATAGCTTCTAGCTATTAATAGCTAGGATGCGACGCGACAACATGTGCAAATAATGTGTAAATATCGCAAACACAGATTGTATAGATTGGCTTGCTACGCTGTATCATCTACAGGTACCTCGGGTACAGTCAGTTCTTGACTATATTTATATGGGGGTAATACGGATTCCTATAAATATACTAGAGAATATAAATATAGGCTCTATTTACTAGTAAAGTACGCGTGGAGAGTGCCGTCACGTTTTTGTTTGGCAGCCTTTGCTCCCTAGCCATATTCAATGCCCTTGCAAACCTGTCAAGATGAACGGTGGCAGCCGGTTCACACCCAAACTGGAGGCACTGAGTGAGAGCTTGTTGAGTGCCTCTTCGGCTTCTGCAATGGAGGCAAACAGATCGTCCGGTTGGGGATCTTCATCCGTCGGTTCTGGCTCGTCGTCATCAAGCACAGCAGTTCTGCTTCGTTGTTGTCGTCTCTAGCTCTCAATCTCATCGTCAACGGTTGCACTGATGACCTCAGGCTGGTCTTCAATATCAGCGAAGGGTATGTACACATGCACTGACGTCAGTCACGGTCACTCGTGACTCAGGGGGGAACATCGAAATCCATAAATATACTGGAGAATATAAATATACGTTTATAAATATAATCGCGAACACACTGTAGTTCGATCACTGATTTCTGCCCTACTGGGGCGGTCTGCTCTCATCTTGGCCAAACGACATGCTACCACACTCTTCATTGTCAAGTGCATGTACAGTATCATAGCGAACCGAAACGATAATTCAAAAATCTTTTTCTCTATTCATTCATCAACTTTACGGGAAGTAGGCAGGCAGATTGTTTCCCAATATTTTGTAGGCCTACCAGGAGGAGGGTTGGAACCACTCGTTGCTTCCCCCGGTATAGTTGATGAGTTTGGAGTACCCCGCCTGACTGGCGAATTGGCAGGCATAGACGGATCGGATACCGGCAGCACAGGAAAAGACCAATGTGGCATCCGGAGCGGGTTTTTCAAATCCAGTCAAGTCTTCGAAATCTTCCTCGTCCAATGCAAAGACATTCTTCTCCATGATAATTTGAACCGGCAGAGTGTGGACACTGGGACTCAGCTTTCCCGTGTTGAGAATTTCTTCCGAAGTTCGAACGTCAATCACGACAAACTCCGAGTCTCCAGCCTCATAGTCTTCCAACAATTCTTCCATGTGAGCTTTGCCAATGTGCTTGATGGCTGGGGGACTGGCGGACGCGGCAAAGAGACGAAGAGGCTGTCGCATCCATGGTTGTTGTTGCTGAACAACAACAGAGACTCCAGTGGGTGCAGCAAGGCCCAAATGACGAGGAGCAAAGGACATGGCCCGCCGTGTAACGAGCGAGAGACAGAGCAGTCTCATGACAATAACGAGCAGCAGAGCCTTTGGTTGGGGTGTCATGGCATTTGGGTTGTGGGCGAAGTCAAAGGAACCGAATGGCGAATGGCGCCTTGGAAGAAAAAATGAGGTCAGGGGTACGTGGTCAAGTGAGCCTTAGCCCTAACTGAGAATCGAAGGATTCAGAATCTTCGTCTCCTCACCTTGCCAATTGTCCACCTGGAGCGATTGGTTTTGGAAGCGCTTGAGGCTTCAGGAGGTGGGGATGCTCGAAACTAGAAGTGTGAAGTGATGTCTGCTAAAAGAGGTCAATGGAGTACGAAGCAATGCAGAGGAGAGGAAATCGAGGAAATCGAGGGCATCGATGCGGGGGGCTCGAGTCGGGGGACCAATGACAGAGCAGGCCAACTGAAGGAGATGGATGGGAGGGCTAGTCAATGGTGAAGCTGCGAGGATGTTGCACTAGCAAATTTCTTTTATGAGCTAAACTGAATTAGCTAAACCCAGATATCCACTTCGTCAAACTTTTGTATGAGGGCACTGGCCGCCTCGTTACTGGGCTCACCAAAATACGCCGAGTCAAGATCGTTGACAGGACCAGCTATTCCCAGCGTGGCGTTGTAAATCTCCTCCAGCTCCCTACTCTCAGAGTAGTCTTCCTCCTTACTCTGCTGAGTCAGTTGTTGGATGACTTGACGGTGCGGTTGGTTGAAGTTTGACGGGCAGCTTGTGTCTACAAGATCGTCATCGCCGTCAACGTCGACCTCCAAAACGCCCGGTCCGAAGGGTATCAAGTTGCTATTGCTCAGCTCCTTCGAGAGCTTTTCAGGCAACGCTTGATGGTCGGCGAAGCGTCTCTCCACATATGCAAGCATTCGCTCAGCGGCCTTGCTGGTGTTTTGGGATCCACTCTTGGCCTTTCGAGTGCGCGCTTTTTGTTGGATCTGTTTTATCAGAGCTCTTACTGTTTGTCGGAACACTGTCTTGTCGCTCCAACTGCGTTGCTCGTGCAGCCATCGAAGCTCATCTCCAAACAACGCCTCCAAAGGACGCTGCATCGCAAAGTCGTCAACCAAAGGAAGGAAACCCTTGTGAGTCGCTTCTTGAATGAACAACTTGAGTCGCACAATCGTTTCATAAAAGTGGATGAGAGGAAACTTTGTATTTTGGTGCCGTGCCTCGTCTTTTGCCAGCCTGCGCACCATGTGCAGTCTCAACAGTTTTGGGAACTGACCAGGTCCCTCATTACTGACAACATCAGCCATGTAATAGTCAAAGGGCAGACAGTTTAGAATGGGGGCGTTGGTGAACTCATGGTTGTACAGCATGGTGCTTCTGGAGGCTTCTTCAGGGCATGGTGGCAGTTCCTTTTCTAGGTACTTGGTACACAATCTATTCCACCGATAGGTAAAATCTAGAATAGTAGGATGGCAGTCGGGTACACTGGAGTCCACCATCATGCCAGCGACCATGTTGAGTGGTAATGCCTTCCGAGAAACCAATCGATACAGGTGCCCAAGCCCAATTTTGGTATTGTAGTCTCTCGAAAGGCCGGTCAAAAGATGATTGTGGATTGCTTCCCTCATTTGAGGGCAATATTGTGGATCCCACGATGATGCTTGGCCCGACCCGTAACGGGATTTTTTGCTGTTTGTCACTGGTTTGCCAAAACGCTCCTGCATTGCCATTTGTACTGCGTAGACCGACGACAATTCATTGAGACGCACCGTCCTTTGAATGTCCAGCTCTTGCACAACCAAAGCTAAAGTGTATCGACAGGCCGGTAGATTGGTCATTACATACGGAATATCAAAGGCCAGCTCCCCATACACCTCTTCGTGAGTACCGCAGGGTTTTCGAGTTGTGATTTCCGTAATGCGTCGTGCAGCCTGGACCATCTTGCGCAGATTGACTTGCTTGGCAACCTGCTGATGGCCCAGTCGAAACAGATTGACCGCTGTCACTGTGGAACAGGCATGGCCCACTTGAGCACCCGTTCGCGTCAGAGCCGCCCACACACCGTCGGCCCCATTTGCCAGAGACAGAAGTTGTGTCATATCCGCCATTCCAAAGGCCATGTGAATATGCACCAGGAATTTGCCATGGGGGTGCCCCGCCCGTTGCATGGTAAGCCGGACCATTCGACAGAGCTTGGCGACCTCATCGGGGAGCAACCAACCCGATGGCTCTTCCATCATGAATCCAAAGGGACGATTGGGGGTATGGCGTGAGAGTGTATCCACGAGATGCAAAGCCCGTTCCCTTCCAACAGGGCTCCGTTGAAAGTTGGTAAAGTCGCGCAGGTTCACCAAAACACGGGGTGCCTTATCATGATCACTTCCAGACACGTTTCTACTTGGTAGGTTGTTGTGACACCACTTTATCAGGAATTGACATCGGGCCATTACATCGTACTTTTGGTAGTCGAATGTTTCCAGGGTTGTATCCACTTCCATAATGGCATTGCAGATGCCATAACCAGCCATCATGATCAAACCCAGTGGGATTCGCCCGTGTATTTTGGAGCTAGATTCTTCCAGCACCTTTTGCAGAGACTTGCCTCCAAAGGCATTGGGTCGAAACCCTTGAGACGCTCTCGTCAGCAGATCCAGGTCATCCTTGTCATAGTCAAACCGAATGTTAGCGGGAGGAGTGACAAATGGGTATGCCTCATTGGAATTGTGCTTGACGTGCTCCAGAAACTTGGGCATGTCATCCCAGAGAGGTCGTTCATCGTAGGATTCCCAATCATAGATATCACAAAAGCCCCATGCCGAGTCGAACGTTCGTCCAAGGTCCTTCCAACGGGCCGATATTTGACTGTCCACACTGATTTTGGTCCCAAAACTCCCAAGAATCACCTCTTGCATCCCCGTCTCCGCCATGGATTTGAGAATGGCATACTTTTCTTCCAGGGAATGACCCTGCGATGCCCCCACAGTCGTCTCTCGCAGTGAATTGTCGAGAAAGAAAATGTTGCGGGGAATTTCCCTATCCACGGTTTCCAGAGTTAGCGGTCGGACCATGGCCGGATGGGCTGCCAACATGTCCTGCTGGACCGTTTCAGCCGATTGGATTTCTTCTTGTAGCTTTTGAAATCTCTCGTGAAAAAGAATGCCAGTTTCCTTGGTAGTCTCATCCAAAGTGTTTTGTTGTTTTATTACTGGTTTGGACATCCAATCTCCCGTCCGGGTGGCCACACTGAGTATTCTTTGCAGTTCCTTGTAGGTGTTCAAGGCTTCTGTAATCTCCGACTTGGACAACTGAGACTCGTCTTGGAATCCTTCCAACAAGGAGGCCGCTCGGTGGAGAACCTGTTCCAATGGCACTGCAGCCATTTCAGGCGACATCTCAACTCGTTTCCGGCCGCCATTCTTGGAAGAAATTCCACTCTTCTTGGTGGCGGAATGCACAGCGTTTGATGCTGGACTTTTTTCTTGTTTTTTCGTTGGCGTCTCAGGAGAACCTGGACTACTACTGCAGGCTCCCATTTGTTTTTGTTTGCGGGTGGAATCGATGAATTATTGAACGAGAGTATCGACTTCCCAACTCTGAATGAATAAAATGAGAGGAGGTCGTGCCGAGTTGGGTTGAAGACCGTGACGACCCTTTTCACTCTTTGTTTCTTCATGCCAATGACCGTTTTAGAAAGTCGGCACAGAAGCTGTCAAACAGCCTGAACGGCCTCGGTTTATTTCGGCGCGGACATCAAAAGGTCAAGAAGCACCCCACCAGCCCACGGCGTACCGTTCCCAGATCTCTAGCTAGCTATTTGATCTACTGCGACGGGATACAGCTTACAATTCAGCTTTACAGCTTTACAATTAGCAGGCTTATTCTAGAAAATAATCAATAACTGGCTCACTTATTTGGAAATACACTTTGCATATTCTGATCTTCTTAGATCGATAGATTAGTCAATGCACAATGGTATTGTCGCATGGTAGCATGCGAGGTTATGAGATGTTACTCATTCTATTACTTTCTCCTTATATTGATATCGCCTATGTTATCATCAGTGGT